TTGAGATGCTTGGAAGTAGACAGAAGTCTGGGGACAGATGGACTAGGTGTGACGTAACAGGACTTTTCTATCTCTAGAATTCTTTCATAATCCAAATAACTACTAAATACATTGTGATGCAGCCCTTTTCCCCCCTCCATAAGGCATTCCACGCCTAGCTTTTCTCAAAAGCCTCTCTCAGTGCAAAGGACATTTACAAACTGCATCACAGTGAGATTTGAGATTTTGCTTTTAATTGGGCTATTTCTAAGGTTTTTTCCCCTGAGTCTTGTCACTAGGGAAAAAGTCCTTATTTCAGAGGGGATGAGAACTTCAAGCAGTTCTAAAGCCACTCTGCTCTCATTTTAGTGCATTTAAGTTCCTAATGTTCAACCTGACGATCAAGTCTGAAAGCTAGGAGGACAGGGTAGGTATTGGCCTGCTCTCTGCCACAGTAGCAGCGTGAGATGGGATGACTCAATGGTCAAAGTGTGAAGTTTGACATGTTTCATGTCCCTGTTGCTGCAGGGTCAAATCTCCAGAAGCATGGACTATCTCCTTGGAAAGGGTAGAAACTGTTTTGTGCATTTTGCTCTGGATCTTTCACACACGACCTTATAAACCAAGGAGGGTCATGACTTTTCTGTGTGGACATCAAAGATCCCATGGGACACTGTTCTTAAGAATAGGGGATCCTCCAGTGATCTAAATAGCCCCTTCCCTTTCAATTGTGCAGACCATTCTGGAGGCAGCTGTATTTCATAGGGGCTGATCATTCAGCATTTGTAAAAGGCTTTGGGACAAAGGTAGTGTTGTAAATACAAGCGCACTCCTATCAAGCAATTGCTAACTGGCAATTGAGCGCAAACCTGAGAACGTAACCATTTGATCTTCCTTTAATATCAGATTCCTTCCAGACCCAGCGCGTGTCACCAAAATGTAAAATTCATCCTTTGAAGCAATCAGTTCCTTTAAACCCGGGATTGTTTTCGATCACCGGGCATTGCTGACTTTGAGATCTAGGGTCTGATCAGTGCAGATGGGGTGTGTGTGTGTGTGTGTGTAAAAATGTGTCTCAGAAAAAAAAATCAACAAAACTCTTTGTTTAGCTGAGGGTCCTGAAGGCCAGTCATTGCTAGTGGGTTTAGATGAGTAATGCCTTATTCACCAGATGTAGCCAGTCTTCAAAAGTAAAAATCCCTGCTGCTCTGCACCTGGCTTGGCCAACTGCTGTAAGGAGTTCCCGGTTCTCTTCTCCTCTTTTAAAATACAGAGACGGCGTCTGAGCCTCGCTTCCTCGATGCTGGGCCCAGACTCATTGACTCGACTGGGGCTGCTGGTGTGAATAAGGAGTCATGGCTGCAGACCTGGGCCTCCAGCTCGGCAGCGCTCGCGGCATTACTTTCCGATTACTTCGCTTGTGTGAAATGAGTCGATCTCGGTCCTGTTCCTTGCCAGCCCCTGCGCACAGTTGAAAACAGAAATTGAAATTGTTCTTCGCGTTGGCCAAGATGCCAAGGATTGAATGGGGCCCAGAGTTTCCTCTAGGACGGGGCTGAGGCATATTGAGGGGCGTACAGGGAAGCTTGCACTGGTTGTGTGTTCAAGTGATGGTGCTCTGCTGAGCACCAAGTCGGTGGAAAAGCAACGAACATGCTGGCTGCAAGAGTAAGTCCGGTTTGGCTTGTCCTGCATGTAGCGTTACAGAGCCAAAGCAAACTCTGCTTTGTCATTAAGGGTCTTATGGCAATAGATGGGGCCGTGTTAGTTCAAGTTGGCGTCAACAGAACATGATTTGAAATGGGCACCTGCTTTATTAAACAATAAAATCAATTGGGGAAATCTGAGAAATGGACCCAGTTCATACCAAATAATCCACTTTTAAACATCAATAAACACTCATCTTTCGAAAGATTTTAGGATAATCCCTTCGCATTTTGTTTTGGTGCTTTGTGTTTTGTTTTTTAATTGAGTGTTTTCAATGGCTTCTTCAGAGTACAGGGAAAGGGGAGGGAGTGCACTAAATAACCATTATTTTTATTAGCGTGTCGTGTGCCCTTTGTATGGAGCCAGGCAAATCCCCAAGTGTGTGTGTATAACATTAAACAGCAAAATTATGGATTCAACAAAAATAAAAATGCAGGAGGCAGTTACTGTATAACCTGGGGTTGAAATATATATTTCAACCTACATTATTTTCATCTCGTAAAGTTAATCGCCACTGTGGGTAGGAAGCTTTTCCTGTGTAATTCAGCCCTTGGAACTGAATAACTGGCAAATCCAGCGTTTTGAGTAGCAGGTAGAGTAAGGACCCGTTGTCTCCAGTTTTTTTAAAACTGGGATGACAGTAAAAGAAGAGAGCCTCTCTGCTTGATTTTTTTTTTTTTTTTTTTTGGTCAGTTTATTTAGCATGATTAACTGTGAAAATGTGAGTGACGCATCGGGGACCGAGTCCTCTTGTTTATCTACGAAATAGGAGCAAGCAGCCACATAAACTCCCCCACACTCCCACCATCAAGGTTTGTCTTTGCTTTGGAGATTCCATACCACCTTTAGGACTGAAAGGGCAGTTTCTTACCAGCAGCAGAGCCCATTTTAGTATTTGTAGTGGGGATACTTGCGTTACTGGAACTGAGCGGAGATCCACCAGCTCACAGGAGAAAGACAGACTGACAAATAGCTCTCCAACGGAAACCACCACCACTGCTGACCTGGCCTGACTTTAAACTGGTGACCCAGGAGCGAAAGGCTCTGTGTCGTCAAAGCCAGCTTGTTTTTATGGATGCTTTTCGACGCAGTGGGGGTTGGCAAGACCTAAACTTCATTTAAAAATGAGTAATTAGAGCTGGTGGCTTAATAGAAAGCGATTAGTAAATTAATGAAATAAATAAATGTCCTACTTTTCATCCAGGAATCTGAACATGCTTTACAAAGGTGGTCAGTAAACTTGTCCCTGCTTTGCAGATGAGATACAGAGTGACCTGGCCCAAGCTGGGACTAGACCCAAGCTTTCATGAGTCCCAGTCAATTGCTCAAGCCACTAAGCCATCCTGTCTCCCTGGTTGCCCTGTCTATTTCTGTAGTGATCTCCTCTACGCTGGTAGCAGTTTGGTTATAAAATTGGTAACATTAACACCATTTATTGTGTGGGGAGGGATAGCTCAGGGGTTTGAGCATTGGCCTGCTAAACCAACGGTTGTGAGTTCAATCCTTGAGGGGGCCATTTTGGGATCTGGGGCAAAAATTGGGGACTGGTCCTGCTTTGAGTAGGGGTTTGGACTAGATGACCTCCTGAGGTCCCTTCCAACCCTGATATTCAATTATTTGAGTTCCTTTGGTTTAAAAAAAAAAAAATCCTCTCTAAAATGGGAATGATCAGAAGGGGGTAACTCAGATTTTCTCTGACCTTTTTGAAAAAAAGGAAAAAAAAAAAGGGGGAAAAAAAGCAGTTTGCACTGTCTTTAACATTTGATCATTAAAAAAGGGAGGAAAAAAGTTAATTCTATTGGTCTTTTCCCCTTTGTGTTCACATTCTGCAAATGATCACTTTTAATTGTTCTCTGCAGCAAATTCTCTTAGTTTCTGAACATACCAACTGCCAATTACAGCGTGAATTCTAAACAGCCAAACTTGTGTTTTTTGAGGCTGTCCTCATTTTGTTTTTTAAACAACCAATGTAATTGACAAAAAGCCATTTGGATGTATAAAATGTTCATTATCTCTGCAGGGCATCAAGAGGCAAAATAGAAGGCAGATTTTGCTTTTATTTGAGCGTGATCTTTGGAATGGCTGTTGCCAGGCTGCTCAGTGGCACGTTGTGTGCTAGTTTTCAGTCTCATTGCCCAAAGAAGCATCTTCTTTCATTGACAAAATGAAGCTGAATGCTTCAGTTAAACACTTCTCCCACTCCAGACTTCATGTACCTGCTGCCACCCCATTTATACCAGCATCGGTTTTCAATAGAGAAGTCCCCTGTTGAAATGGGGCATGGCAGCAAAGACTCAGGTGGATTAAATGAATTGTATGTACAACTGCTATCATATCTCACCACTTGAGGTTTCAAATTAATTAGCAGCGGCCTGCGGGCACTTGTCCTTCTGGACCAGTGAAGTTTGAATCAGGTCTTGCCTTGTCAGATGCTCCAGGAGAATTGACAGCTGCTTTTCCCTCCCGTCTTACACCACTTCCAGTGTTACAAGTCTGACTTTTAAGAACTAATGCCATTTGAAAAACAGATTCCCATGTAACTGCTGCAGAACTGTGATGGCAGAGAGCTGAAGGCAGAGGCTCGGATGAAAACACACTGTATTCGTTTTGTTTGTTGGGAATCATTGCTTGTTAGTTGGATGCTATGTACTGCAAACTGCCAACCCTTCATTGCATTGACCACTGTATAATAGCTACAGCTTAAAACCAGTTTTTGCTTTCCAATAGAAAGTTGTTTCTCGGTGCCTAGAAAGTAGCTCTTTAGTGGGCAATAAAAATTTAGTTCCAAAGCGGGGATCAAATCAAAGTTTTAGCTTGTTCCACTGTGTCAAAGTCAGTGCTGCAAGCTGGCATTTATAAATCAAGGCTGGGTGGGCTAGCACCAGCAGGAGAATGAATTTGTGTGGGGGGGTGGAGGGTGAGAAAACCTGGATTTGTGCTGGAAATGGCCCACCTGATGATCACTTTAGATAAGCTATTACCAGCAGGACAGTGGGGTGGGAGGAGGTATTGTTTCATATTCTCTGTGTATATATAAAGTCTGCTGCAGTTTCCACGGTATGCATCTGATGAAGTGAGCTGTAGCTCACGAAAGCTCATGCTCAAATAAATTGGTTAGTCTCTAAGGTGCCACAAGTACTCCTTTTCTTTTTGCGAATACAGACTAACACGGCTGTTACTCTGAAAGGCTGGGTAAGTAATTCATCCACTATCAGAGGTTGATGGCCCCTTTTACTAAAGAGGTTGTGTCTGGGAAGAGATTCCAGCCCTGCATTTCCAGAGACTTGCTGATAGACCCCTGCTTTCTCTTTCAGCAAAGTACCTTAAAGATGGATATAGAAGACTGCAATGGACGCTCCTACATATCTGGTATGTCACTTGTTTTGCTGTTGTCCGATATTTTGGATGCCTGTATTTCAAAAGGCCATTTTCTGATGCTCAGCAGTTACCTGTATGGGAGTCTAATGCCGGTGTGTTGCTTTGCTCCACAGCTCTACCGTAAGGCACATAATTTATGGTGGTGATATGGATTGTTTTCAGATTATCTAGCGTATTTTGTTAATACTAATATCTGAAAAGTATTAACACAAGTTGTTGGCCTTCCCCTTCTCAGCAACAAATACGTCCACTGTCAATAAGGACAGTTTTAGAAACTGAGTTAGAATTTAGTTTGCCAGGATCAATTATAAATTGATTATACCAGATTTTAAAAACTTGGTTACTCGTGTGTGATGGTCCAGTCTGTTCAGGGTGCAAATCCAGGCCAGTGAGAGGTTGTCTCACTACTTGCTATGCAAACCTGGGTGCCTTACAAGGCCTTGATACTGTAGTTCTCGGCCTGCTGGAGATTAACGTCCAGCTCACAGTCAGCAAGAAGCATGCAGATCACATCCTGAGTGTCTGTGCTTAGACAGCCATGGTTCAACAGCCTGAATATAGCCCCATTCTGGCTTCCACCAGCCTGGGTTACAACCATTGAGATGACCCCAATGCACCCTCCTTCCCGAGTTTCCCCAAAACCGTATGCCTTGACGTGTCCAGCCCTCTCCTGGCCAGCTCGGGGAAATAATAAGGTTGATTTGCTCTTGTGAAGAGTCCCATCCCACCAGCTTATCACTTTAACTGGAGTTGATACTCACTTCCAGTTCAACACAGCACTCGCTTGGTCTATAGTAAAACATAAACTCTTTTATTAACAAAAGAGCATGCATTAAGTGAGTTCAAGGGAATAAAGGTAGAAAGGACTCCAAGTAACACACAACAAATCACGCTTCCAATGGCTAAGACTTCATTTACCAAGCTACTGTCTGGGTTCAAGGTAAAATCCTTACCGTGTGCTCCCAGCAAGATAACTCAAAATGGCTGATCATACCAAGGCTAAGACCTTGTCATAGAAGAGCAACAGGCTAGCTTCCCTTTTCTCCCCAGGTGAAAGATCTTCGGGGCTCTCTTCCCCTCTCTCTAGTCCAGTTCCCACAGACCTTCAACCCAAGGGGGTGGGGGTTGCTGAGCCTAGAGACTAGTACACAGCTGCCTCCCCTACCTCCCCGTCTTGGGGGGAGCTGTTCCTTCTCTTCTTAAGCCACACGTTTTAAAAGATACTACTAGTGAGTCTTCATAATTCCTCCTAGAGCGTTAGTACAGACATTTCCCAAGGACATTAATCTCCAGCATGTTCCAGGCATTCATAAATGACCTGTTGTTGTATTCAGTCAGTTGATTCAGTTGCATATGATTTGATGTTTAGACCCCGTGTCTCTATACCTCAAATAAAATTTCTCTTCCCTGCTGTGGTGTAACCATACTGTCTCCCCCTCTCTCTTCATGATCATGGTGATCATTAGTACCTCGGGTCCTCCAGACCACAGGTCAGATCTCGGCCCTCGCTGCAAACAGAAGGAAAAGTGTCTTTCCAGTGACATCTTGCTTGATCTGCAATACTAGATAGTCAAAGGTGTTTAGTACCCCGCTTATGTTTATAGGATGGATATTTTAGTCTCTCCTGTTAGACTCCGTTCTTCTGCACACGAATACACAATGGTAAACTTGCAATCACATGTGATGTTTAAGACCCTCATGGCGTCTCTGAAATATCTGTCCTGCCAGACAGCATGCTATTGTTTGTTAGAGAGTGTTAAGATTAAATCTGGAGCCATGAAATATTGCGAGGTGTGTGCATGGGGTGAGTTCACCTCTTTGTTGTTGATTGATTGTAACAATCTGTTGGCAACATGAAGGCCCTTTTGGGTGTGGGTGGAGAGAGTGGGTCAGAATGATAGTGTCAGGCCATCAGTGACTTGTGAACACCTCGAGATATGGGCTCAGGAGTGCCAGTGAGTTTCAGAGACTAGAGGGTTGCTGCTGGAAACCTGGTGCCTAGTCTTTGTAGGTGAGAAGTGAATGCTAGCTTGGTGGGGCCCTGCAGTTCTCTAGTGGGTATGCATCCATATCATCTTTCAGTTTGAAATTCAGTCTCTGCTCAAGGAAAGCCTTGGATAAGGATAAGGTTTGGGGTAGATTTATCAATTATAAAACCAGAATGGAGCACTGAAGGCATCTGTCTGACCTCTTGCATAGCACAGGCCATAGAGCTTCCCTGAATTCAGATTGTAGATGAAGGTGATAAGCGGATGGAGCTGCATGGGCAGTGACCAAAAGACCTGGACTTCCAGGGGTGAAGGTGGGAAGTGAAGTGCATTAATATAGAGCTTTGGGGCAGAGCCGGGGCTGTTAAACAGGGGTACTGCCACCGGCCAGGATTGGGGTGCACTGACGGAGCTGGGCAAGGAAACTTGAACAGCGTCTGTTTGCATCAGAGTCCTGCCCTCCCTGACTGACAGAACCCAACGAGCTTGAGTCGGTCGTTGGTTTTTTGTTTTGTTTTTAAGAAAAGAAGCTTCCTCTGATCCCTGGAGGATGAGCGCTGGTGGCTGGATTGTTGTTTTTTGTCAGTGCTGTGCTTTGACTGGGTCTGGGTCGCCGTAAAGCCCTCGGTTCTGGCCGCCAGGATGCCCCCTTGTTAAGTCACAAAACGCTTCCGTGAGGAGAGGCCAGCGGCTCGTATGGAACGAGGGTGGGCGCTGGCTGGAAGTGGCTGCTTTGCTAGGTTAGTTCAGTTTCCCACTTGGCAGAGCTGCGTCTCCCTGCTTTGCAGCAGCCGAGTTTGACCATGCCTGGGTGCACTCTGCTCCAAGGTTTGCATTGTCTTGCAAGCTGTTGCTTTCCTTTTCTTTGGGAATTTTCTGGTGAGCCTGGCCCCTCCCCGCCGCCTTTGCAGCAGGTTGCCGTTTGCCCCTGAACTCCATGGAGATGCTGAAGTTCCATAAGAATGCTTGAAATGAAAAGAGAGCAGCTCCGTCGATGTAATTTGAATCCTGCGTGAGCTTAGGGTGCGGGAACTCTGAATTGCAAGCAGCTGCTGGCAGCTTGTCAAGGAATAAAGTAGCGAAGGGACTGATCAAGGAGGGGAGAAGAATTGGAGTCACACAATCAAATTCTCCTCTTCCCTGTGGGGTAGCAAAGCTGTCCAGGTCGGTGTTCGCTTTTTGTCAAGGATGCCCTACACATACTTGCCCTGTAGCCACCTGGTGCAAGAGGGAAGCGTGACCAGAAGGAATTCAGAAGCTGCTTATCGTCCCAGGCTGCGAAGGGATGTGGGCAAGGGACTAAACACACTGGCATACCTAGCAGGAAACCTTTCGCCAGGAAAATGGGAACTAATGATCCAGAGGATCGGGCTCCACCTTCCATTCTTACTGATGCTTTGATACCACATTAGTAGGGGGCGAAAGTCAGGCCCAGTGGAAGCCAGTGGAGTTGCACCTGCTTACACCACATCTAAATTTGGCCCAGAGTGCAAGCCCGCAACGTGGTGAGTGGCGCGTGGAGCGGTGGCTTCATCAGAAAGTGAGTTTAGTGCCAATGAGAAGTGCCTGATGGATTGTGCTGGAGACTGAAGTCCTCTAACCCCAAAACGAGAATATTGTGCTCAGCTACAGCATAGACCAAGCCCTGCCCTGAAGGCCCCGCTTTGGGGAGTGGGGGAATTTACTCTCCATGGCCCATTCGATCTTTGACCTCACAGTTTAGACAGTCTGCAAGGGGGATCCGTGTGATGTTCTCAGCGTTTACCTCTCTGCTAGGAACCAGACCACGAGCCACCCAATCATTTGATTCGGGTCTTGACTAGCCAAGGGTCAGGAATGACTAGAGTTGGTTCAAAAAGAAAAAAACAAAACTAAAACTTGTGCCAAAACTCTCTTCCACAAAAACCGGCTCTGTAATTAAAGGGAAACTTTCACTTGGGAATTTCTGATTTTGTCAGATTTTCAGGCTTTCCTTGGACAACTGAAAAGCTGAAAATGTTTTTTAAGAAAATGGGAACTTTTTGTGGGAAAATTAAAATACAGTTTTTGATCAGCTCTGGTAATGACTCAGTTACTACCAGTCACGGAGGCAGTAAACAACACATATGGCATCTGAGTTCCCTGAGGCAACAAATCCTTGGGTTGTGTAGGGAGAGAACACTATCTCCATGGTTTTTAAAAAGAAAGTAAGAGCCATTCTCTGTGATTAGGACTTTGCTGTCATGTTACCATCAAACACATGTGCTCTCTGACACTGGGACAGTGGGGTCCTTGCTACCTACTGACACCATCTGTTTGTCTCGCCTTTTGCCTGAGGTGTTTGCTGGAAGCAGAGAAGTGTGTGTGTGTGTGTGTGTGTGTGTGTGTGTGTGAGGCTGGGGGCATGGGAGCAAGGACTCCTGGGTTCTGTTCCCAAGTTTGCCGCTGATTGTCATCTGGGTGAAAGTAGTTGCTTTCGGTCTCTCTTTGCCTCAGTTTCCCCATCTGTGAAATGGGGATAATAGCATACAGCAACTAAGTGAGGTTTAATTACTTTGGACAACAGGTGCTATAGACGAGCAAATTGTTATTTTGTGTTGTGTGCAAGACTTATGCACACATTTAGTTAAGTGTTGCTTTACTCTGCCTGAAGTCTTAAAGCTGGAGGAATTATTTGAGTCAAAAACTCTGAAGAGACGATCAGAAGCCATACACTAGTCCCTCCAAAAAGTAGGTCAAAGGAGTGGGACAAAGCTGCAGTTCTTCTTTGTGTGTGTATTGAAAGGAAACCTGCTAATTCCATTGTGAGTTCCTGGGCCGCTTTGATAGGTGCAGGTGACTTAACAGAGTAGTTTGCAGGAAGAAGGAAAGGGTTAAAGTCCTCTTGGAGGAGGGGGCACTTGGCTGTCTTGGAGCTCCCCAGGACCCCGGTCGCTTGCCAGGGTCTGGATTGTGTTAAATATTTCCCCACCCATCTTCAATCCATGACTAAGATTTAAAGACACCCTCCCCTCAAAACCCATTACAACAACTGACAGGGCTACCCCAATGTTCTGTCCTTAACTGAATGCTTGGAGGGTGGCTTGTTAGAGGCCTAGTCATGGGTTACGTGTACTAGGAAAACACTCCCTCCCGCCCCCCCACCCGTTGTATTTCATGGTACTTTGCCCAGTTGCGTGGCGTGTCCGTGGATTGCAAGGTCCATGATGGCAGATCTGTAGCTTTGCAGTGTGAGGTGTATTCCCCCCTCTGCAGCATTCAGTCCCTCTTGTGTGGGTTTGGACAATGCTCTGTGCATGCTGGGTGCCTTGCAGCCATTTCCCATGGAGACAGGGCTCCAGGGTTAGCACCTTTTTCCCTTAACTGGCTTGTTAAGGGGATGGCCCAGCCTTGCCCTCTGACTGGCTGTGCTATTTTCGGACACGTGCGCCCACCCGCCGAGCAGCCGGGGGGGGCGGCGAGTGTGCATCTCTGCAAAAGGGGATGCCGCAGCCCTGAATTCCTGCTAACTATGCCGCTTGACTGTAAAATGACGGCCGTTTCTCTCACTTCCAGGAATCTGCTCTTCCTGGAAGGTGAGTGGCTGAGTTCACCCTACCACTGCCATGCAGACATGCACACACAGCCTGTATTCCAGTGCTGTTTCCAAGGAGTTGGCTGTGAGAACACTCCAGGGTATCTTCAGCAAGGTAGAATAATGTAAGTGAAATGGGAGGGCTGAGGGGATAACTCCGTGCCATTTCTGTCTCTCTCCACGTTTGGTGTCATTGGAGGTGGGGAGGAAAAAGGGGGTGCGGGTTCTTTAACATGCTGTGCAGAAGAAATATCTTTAGATGGAGATCAAGCGATGTGGGGGGGGGAGAGGGAAACACTTGACCATTTGAAATGCTACCGCGGGCGTCTGACCAAGGAAGAATGACAAAAAGGCAAATGCTGGCAGGGCTGTGGGAACAGAGCATGGTTCATAATCGGAGGTGCTAAGTGTCTTTAACAGAGATCAGGGTACCCCTGTTCCCCCTCCCCAAAGTGCCTTTTCGGAGAGGCTTTCCGGCTGTAGAATGTACGCTCCGTGCATCTAGTCCAACCGTAACACCTAACTCATGCTGGCAGGGACTGAGCCGATGCTGGGTCCAGCTCTTCGGGTCTGTTAAATTGCTCTGACTGAACCCTGCTGCATCACTGGGTTTCTTAGTGTTGTGTGTGTTTGTCTGAAATTGTCTCGTTAACCTGTCCTAATTCAGAGCTAATATCCATTATCCGTGGTGTGTGGCTTCTGCTGGTGATGCGTGTTGTCTTAGCATGACTCAAACTTTCCAGCAACATCTTATTGAGCCAGTCAAAGCATGGGGGAGAGGATCTGGGGGACCTCAAGCACTCCAACCCAGGGGAACAGAAAATCTCTCCTAAAATATTGCTCCAGGGTGGGGCTAGAGGGGGCAGAAAGCTGCCTGGGGAGTCCCAGCTCAGCGCGGTGGCTGAGTGGTGGTTTGCAGCCCACCACATCACTTCAGAGCATATATGGTAAATGACTCCCCTTGCCGGCTTGGCCTCCTGATGCAGCATTCCCTCTGCGCCGTCAGACAATGGGGTGAGCTCAACGCTGCATGTGTTGGGACACGGGTTTATCCAGATGCAGCTATTGAAAACAGTTTTACCATCTGCATTAAAAGTTCACACTGCTACAGCCTTCTTCATCCCAAAGCTTCTCGCCAACCCTGTTCATGCCACACCACTGAGACGCAGCCACTTCTGGGGTGCAGAGCAGCAGCCAGCATGCAACAGCGGTGGGGAGGGGACATTCACTCGTGCGCCGCACGTGTGAGCTGCCCCAAAGGTTCTTGCGTGTCTGTTTGCAGCAGGTAGGCTGTTGGCCCGTAAGGGTTTGTCCAAGCAAGAAGCCGTGCTGTGCATCATTAATCACAGGAGGGTGAAGAGCTGAATCTACCCTGCTGGATTGAATTAACCCTGGCCTCCCAGGGCTGATTTTTTGACAGCCACCTTGTTGTGGGAAATGTCCACTCCCAGTTGGTGGTTGCAAACCAGCGTGCATCATGTGCTCCCTCACAGTCCCCGTTGGGCTACAGAAAACAGACCTCCACCTGGGGAGAGCTTCAGCCCGTCTGACTGCTGCCCTGTTGTACTGGCAAAGGGGATCCCATGGGAGCAGTCCCAAACGCTTGCGTAGCCAGGGGGCCAATACACCTGTGATCCACCTTTCCGCTGCGGCCCGGTGGTCATCCTTGCACATAGATATGTGGATCCTTTCAAGTTTGCTGGGGTTGTCTGTCCACTAACCACTTCACTGCAAAGTAGAACCCAGTTTGCATGGCACCTGGAATGTACCTAGGTCCGTGGCCATCGTATTCTCCCCACACGCACACACCTACCTCCCGGTAAGGAAGGGTTTGTCTTGCTGTGAGCAGCACGCTGGTGTTTGTCTTCTGACAACGAAACGAGAGGTGCCTGAGAGCCAGCCGGAGCCTCTTTCCCGGGCTCCGGGGCTTTGGTTATGAGGGAGATGATTTTACTGACTGAAAGCGATCTTAAAGCTGGCAGGAGCAGCCACATCTCATCTGTGTTCCCTGCTTCTTATTCCCAAAGGTAGTGGGGATTCCTCTCTGGAGAAGGAGTTCAGCTCGGCGATCGTGGGACCCACGGTGAGCACCCCAAACAGCCAGCACTCCTCCCCGAGCCGCTCCCTGAGTGGTGAGTACAGCGTCCCCCTCGCCAGATGCAGCCGGCTCCTCCGGATTAAGGCTGGGCTCTCTGATAGGCCAACCAGGAAGTTTGGTGCAATGAGTTTCCTTTAGAATTTGACTCTTCAAACTGAAGAGGATAAATTCTGACTTCAGTTCTTGTGTTCATAGCCGCAATGGGGTTACTTACCTGAGCTACGGGCCTCTCTGCCTTGAGGTTTAAAGTCACCTGTGTGTAACCCTGCCCTGCTAAATTCCATACTCCCCAAATAAGTGTCATTTGTTTGTTTGGCCCAGAACCAAAACAGCTGCGTGCTCCCGCCTCTGTTAACAGGAGAGGAGTTTGCGCGGGGTGGGGGGAGAATAAACCCCAGGGGCTGCATAGTAACGAAGTGCTCATTGCAACCACCAGGTCGATGCATGGGAAATGGAACAGGGCCACCTCTCTGTTACCCTCTCAAAGGGAGTTGGGGCCGGCGTGGAGTTGGTGGTGATGAGGCTCTCTGCGTTCGCATCCAGCAGAGAGCGGGCACTGTGTGTCTAGAGCCGTGTTGCAGCTGGGAGCGTGTGTTAGCAGGAGCGGGATTGTTCTGGGGCGACGGTAGGGTTCTGAAAGCTGCTGAGCATGTTGAAATGGACCTCTCCAGCTCGAGACCGACGCATGCGCCCCTCTCCAGACAAGTGGTTAAAAGAGCTTGCACTGTCTGAGACCAGACCTCGGCATGAGAACATGACTGTGGACACAGCTCCTGTGCATCTGGAGCCGTGCGTAGGGCTCCCTCCTAGCCCAGCTGGCTGAGCAAGGTATCTGGAAGTCCAGCAACATGCAGGGCCGGGTTGGTGAAGGGATGGGCAAAGCAGTAAGGTTAGGAAGGGCAGCTCTCAAGTGGCACTGACACATGCTGGTAGGGCTGGTGAACATTAAATCTTAACCTCGAGCCTAGGAGACGGAACGAGCCGGAAAATCGAAGGCGTATGCCATCTTAACGCCAGCCATGACCGATGATTTGCAACCTCTGATCGCCTGAGATTGCAGGCGTCGTCAAGTCGATCCAGTTCCAGCACACTCTGGAAACGTTCTCCCCCTCCTTCGTGGAACTTCAACGTCACAGCCTGGAGTCACATTGGCGTGGCCCGATAAAGGCTTGTCTGTGTCAAGCTGCTGCTTTGGTGGACTATCCCATGATGTGAGAGTGGCTAGGATGAGTGATGAGCCAGGCTGGGGTGGGAAGGAGCAATGGGGTTTGGACGCCCTTCCGATTGAAAGTTTGTAAGGTGAAACATTTCAGCTCCGTCTCTGCATTGCAACTGAAATCTTTCTCCACGGTCCAAAGATGAATTAAGCTGCTTTTTAAAATACATTTCAGAGCCCACATCAGTAAAATAGGCAGGTCTGATTTCAGAATTGCCCCTGAAATCCTCCATCTACTCGCCCACCCTTCACTGCAGTGATTGCTGAGAAATGTAATGTGTCACTTGCATGTCAAAAATGGCATGACCCTAGGACAAGTGGAACTTAGCAAGGCTGATGTAGGCTTCAATTGTAAACATGCTATTTACATCACAGGCTTCCGGGGCAGGGGCCGAGTCTCCCTACAGCTCGTACAGCACTGTTATCCCTTTAATAAAATAGCATTAAAGCAAGAGAACCGAGAACTGATTCCTGGTCTGCTTGCAAGCCCTGAGTTCAGTCCTCCCCCAAACTGAAACTGAACAGGTAACATCGTTCGCTCTGATCTCTCCTCTCTCTCCTGTAAGCTCAGAATTTCCTTTCCATAAAAGAGAAATTGCTGCATAGTTCACCCACTTTCAGCACGTGCTTCCATTAGCTCCCAGATGCTCGGATCTGGAGGCTGCCCTAAGGGTTCTAGGACAAGTTAGACCCAAAGCAGTAAGGTTGCACGAGGGTGAATTAGCCCTAGTCTGTTCCCTTTTCTCTGCTATTATTTCGCATGTGGCTCTTGTTCTGTAATAATGGTTAGAAGGCCCCCTCAAAGAATCAGATTTTAGGTCTCAGGCAGGAAAACCCAGAGAGACGCTCAACTTTTCACTTGGGCATATGCAGAGAGAATCCAACCCATGGACTGATCTAAAGAAAAAGAGAGCTCTCTTCCCCTTTAACAGAGGGATGCTGGTGATGGTATTGCTCCTGATCTGACTTGACTTCACAGCTGGTTCATCCAGCGAGCATTGTGCCCCAGAGGAGCGGGAATATTATATAACCTGCCGTGCCAGCAGAGAATCGCGCTCCAGCGATAACGGACCCTGCATTGGTTCTGAAAGGAGAATGGCAGAACAATAGTCAGCCTCCCTCTGCCCAGAAAGAAAATAAGTCCTCAGGGGGGGATAGAAAAAATCAAAGTGCAGCAAACATCCGCGTATCCGGGCAGCTCCTGCCAAGGGAGAGGAGCTTTTCACTTCGTGTTTGTGCACAGAGGCGTCCGGTCGTGCTGTGTCTCCAGGATGCACCCAGTGGAATGTGGTGTTTTTTGAACTTTGTGCTTTTCCCTCAAGAAAGCGTTTCAGCCTTAGAGTCGATCCCAGCCAACTTCCAGCAGCAGGCTTGACCGGTGGCATGCCAGGCAATCTGCTATTGCCCAAGTCCGAGCAGAAGCTTTGTTCCTCTCTCCAAGAAATTTTTGGGAAACAGCGTTGTCCGTTAGCTACAGCGGGGACTGGAAAGCCAGAGTCCAGCTCAGCCACTGACCTAAAGCAACCTCAAATGAGCCCCTTCTACTCTTCATTCCTCCATTTCCCGCATCTGTGAAAGCGGGCCTTCTATATCACTTGGCAATCCTTAGGTGAAAGGCACCAGAGATGTGCAGAGGGAATGTAGCATTCACCATCCTTCTCCAGACAGTCCAAGCAGCTGCCTTGCTTGCACTTGGGCCACAGAGTGCAGGCGACCGAGTCCTACAACGTGTCCTGTTGTGAGCCACCCGCTCACTGGGAAGGCAGTAGGGACCAGTCACTTCCAGACAGCAGTTTGGATTCACTTATCTCCAGCATGTGGGAAGCGAGGTTGCTGAAGAATGTCAGTGCTGAGCCTGTGGTCCCAGGAGGTCACCTAACAGCCATCTCACCTGCCACACTGAAGGGCCGTGAAAACCTGCAACATCCCAGCCAATGCACCCTGAAGGAACATGCGTGCCCTGCCCCAAATCCAAAAATTGGTTCATTATTAAGGCTCTAATCCCATTGACCGGTTGATAGTCAAATCACTGTCCTCTTTTGTTGAATCACAGCACTAAATCCATGCCGAGCTCTTCAAAGTATGTTGCACACGTTAACTGAACCCCCTAGGCAATAGGTAAGAATTGTCCCTGTTGCACAAGGACATGGCTTGCATTGCTCCTTGGGGTGGTGTCCGCATCAAACCTGGGATCAGCCCTCTGGAGTTCATGGTGACTAGTCCCACATCCAGCCCTCACACCCATCTCCAGAAGGCAACACGGGCTCTGTGAGGGAATCCAAACATCAGTTACCCTCCAAGCGGGAGAAAAGCCCCTCTGTTTGTTTGTAATCTGAAGTTCAGACCTGTCAATTTCCTGGCATGCTGAGAGGTCAGGAACAGCCACATCTGGTACATTTAAATGGAAGAAATAGGACTCTGATATCTGAAAGAAGGCAGTTAAGATTCTATGTGGCTTAGTGGTGGTCTTCCCTCCCATGGGGGTGACCTGTTCAGTTCCCCGTCTCTCACTGGCCCACCCCAGCCCTTGCAGGAGCGCTAGGAAAACGGCTTGGGGGGAGCTCCATTACAAAGAAGCAGCTCTTGCTGTCTAAAGAGCAGCATCAGGAATCCCCGGAGGGAATTCCCTCTAGTTCTTGGCTGATGGGGATGGCTTAAAACAGCAGGAAACTTCTAAACTGAGTCATTCACAGACCTTCCTCTCCAGGTGAAACACACTTCACGTGAGGCTAACGACACCCAGATGGAGACGCTGTGTCTTGTTAAGGGTGTGACTAGCGTTAATGAACTGAGGTGCTCTCTTCCGTCTCCTCAGGCACTCTGAAAACTACCTGTCCCAGGATGGGCTGAAAGCACCAAAGATCTGGAGAGAAATGCTCAGAAACTGTTCAGGAAGGAGCAGGCTGGGGACAGGGAGACCCAGGCCTTCCTCTGCCCACCAGGCTCTAGCTTGCTCTCAACAAAATAAGCAGGGAGCTATCGCTGTCCAGTTGCCTTGTCTTCTGAAGGACTGTTTGATCTGTGGCATTCCACAGATCATTAGAATAGCTGGGAATGTAGGTCACGGCTGGCACCGCCGTTCCGATTTCCAGTCTCGGCCTGTGATGCTGGAGAAGCGAAGAAAGGTAGCAACCAGGAGACGCGTGCACAGACGCAGCTTGCAACCGGGGGGGCTGGGAAATGCGCTGGAGATCAGGCACACTGTGCGGTGTCAGTTAGAAACCCCCCAAACCGTGCTGTATAGATTACCTTGGCAGCAACAAAGAGCCAGGCAGATCAGTACGGCTAACTGTCCCCATAAACCTCTGTGGCCAGCACTCTCCTCCTCATTCCCTCAGGGTGAGGGGCAGGGGTGTACAGTGTAGCCCCACTTCCAGAAGTGCTCTCATGCAGCAGGATCCCTTTCCATGGCCCCAGCCCTTCTCCCTCTTGGTTCTGAAAGTGTATTTCACTAGCCCCTGGCCAGTCTGGCCAGCCACCATTTGTAGACCTCTCCTCCATAATGGCCTGCACCATTCATGTGTCTTTCCCCGGCTTACCACAACGCGCCTTTTTTCCAGAGGCTCTGGATTGTTCCAAGACCTTTTTAGTAACCCAGGGCCCTATTGCAGAGCATCTACCATTGTAGCTACCTAGTACCCCCACTGGGTATGTCTGCATCCATGTTCCCTTTCGTTGTTCATGTTAGTGTCGTGTGGCTGCTCACACTCTTGTCAACTTTCAGGGAATTGCCACTTGAATTGCGGAGTTCCCTTGCGAGTGTGACATTGACGCAAAGCACTACATGAATGTCCTATGCTGGACACGTGCATTTCAAGGCCTGCTCTGACAGCTTGGCCGTCCCTAGTGGGAAAGTGGAGCGTTTGGCTTCAGGCGCTCGGTGCATGGCCTTGCTCCCTTTTCCTACTTTTAACTATGTGATGGATCGCATGCCATACAAGTTTAAATGACACAAGCCATCCCTTCATTCTCATGCAAATGTTCTGGGGTGATGTGATTTTGCTGGCTCTGCCATGCGGCTGCCCAGCAAAGCTCTCATTCCGCTGCCAGCGCGCAGACGTGGTGTCTTGCCCGGTGACTGCTCTCGGAACCCATAGTCTTCCGCTTCTTCTCGAGTGACCCTTCTCAACCCGGCAATGGTCTCTCGGCACTACTTGCCAGCCCTGACTATCGAAAACAGAGAAGTTTCTTGTTCCATCTGGCCACTTTCCTGTTGTGTTTCTACTTGTTGTCTCGTGATTCTTGGCTCCCATGAGCCATCGTTTCTTTAATGTCCTGCGATGGGAGGTTGCTGAGTTTTCCTGTGGAAATTGGAGCAATCTAGGCAGTACCATGGGGAGCGGTGTCCTTATGCACCCGTAACCAGTTGTGTTGCTGCCAAGCAACTCATTTAACTTTCTTCCCTGTTTTCTTTGCCATGACTCACAATGTCAGTGATATTAGTTGTTTTAAATGGCCTATTGAGTGTGTTCCATTCACTGTATATTTATGTATTGTCCCTCCCATCCCCCTGCAGCAAACTCTATCAAGGTGGAAATGTACAGTGATGAAGAAGCCAGCAGGCTGCTGTCACAGGACGACCGCCTCATCGAGAAAGAGGACAGCGTGATTGTGGAGGACTCCCTCTCTGAGCCCCTGGGGTACTGTGATGGCACAGGGCAGGAGCCTCACTCTCCTGGCGGCATCCGGCTACCCAATGGCAAGCTGAAATGTGACATCTGCGGAATGGTGTGTATCGGCCCCAACGTGCTGATGGTGCACAAACGGAGCCACACGGGTAGGTGGTCGGGGCAGAGATGCTCAGGACTGAATGGGCTGTGGGCACTTAACAGTGCTCCCACCTAGAGGGGCTGGGGGGGGTGGGATGTGTTCCCTGCCGGGCTGTCAGTCTGACCCCCCTCACCCAGCATGACATTTCAGGGCAAACATAAAGGTTTTCGTAACCCGCCCTGCAGGGGCAGGTGTCTCACGAGCTGCTTGCGTTTCAGGAGAGAGACCGTTCCACTGCAACCAGTGTGGAGCCTCCTTCACCCAGAAGGGGAACCTCCTGCGGCACATCAAACTGCACTCTGGCGAGAAGCCCTTCAAATGTCCCTTCTGCAACTACGCCTGCCGCCGGAGAGACGCGCTCACCGGCCACCTCCGCACACACTCAGGTGGGTAGCTCGGGGGGCCGGACTCCTGGGTTCCATCTAGCCTAGTCTGCTCCCCCATCACCAGAGTGTCCGAGCACCTCCCAGTGATCAGTGTTTCTCTCCACACCACCTCCCTGCTGCGAGGGAGGGAAGTGCTGTTGTTCACAGAGGGGAACTGAGATCCAGAGAGAGTAAGAGCCTCACCCATGATCACACAGGGACTTGAACCTGTGTCCCAGGCTGGCGCTTGAACCGCTGGCCCAGCCTTCCTCTTGTGTCGGCCTGTCTTCCCAACTGGCTCCATGGCTTTGAGTGAGTCACTTTGTGTCTCTGCCTCAGTCCGCTGAGCCGGTGAGTTTGGTGCAGTGGGAGCCCCGCTGGTGTCTTGCCAAGAGTCTGGGAACTTCCCTGAACGGACTGAAAACAAAATGGTTTCTGTCTGGGGGCCGCACCTCTAGATTGCAGAGGAGAGCCCCCGGGATTGCCTTCACGTTGTTCATGCTGGCGTCCTCGCTCTGGCTCCTACCAGCTGCAGGTGCTGGGCTGGCCCTATCCAGTGGAAACAAGCCGCTGGGGTTTTCTGTTGGTGTTTTGACAGTGTCCTTTTCAATGTGGCATTTGAGATGGGGCTTTTCCCCTTTGGTTCCATGATGTAACAGCTGGCTGAGAGGGCGTGGGGTGGGAGTGAAAGATACCAGTTCCCTCAGAGCTCTGCTCATTTTCCTTTGACTTGTGTGCAGGAGTGTCTGTGGGGTTTTAAAGTTCACACAGGTGTTTGAAGCCATCTGTGACTCTCTCCCATTTAACCTTTTGAGTGCCAAAGGGAAACAGGAGTCTTGTGTGCCAGCTTCCTTCTCTTTTCTCTTCTTTTCTCTTCAAGGGGGCTGCAAAAAGCAACCTCTGCAGGAACTTTTCTGATCGGGGTCTTGCCCAGGGTCCTTTACTGAGCTGCCACAGAACTCTTTCCCTTCCATGGCATTGACGGAGAGCCCTGATTATCTTAACATCCCCACGCCAGGGGCCTCATGTTGCAGCCCCCAAGCTTTCCTTTCACTGGGGCTGGGGGCTTTGTCTCCCCATCTTTTGGGAACCTGTCAGGTTCCATTGGTGACTTGCCTGAAGATGCCAAAGGGGCATCTGAGAAACGTGAGGCACCAGCAACCCCAGAGCAGGAACCCCCGCCCAGGGACTGATCTCTGATTGACCCACGACTGGCTGCATTTCAGTGCTCTGTCTGTGGTGGGTTTTACAGCAAGTTAGTGGGTTTGAGCCTGTTGCATCTCTGGATGTTTCTGCAGGACAGGGAACAGACTCTGGTGTCTCTGCGTAAACCGTAACTGAGCAAAACGAAGTCAACTTGCTGGTGAAACGCTGGACTGAATGTGGCGGACATTTCTATTGTAACGATTCTTTTCTGACCATCTTGACGCTGTACTTGGTCGGTTTCACCCACCAGCATGAAGTGAGATTAGTGTCTTACGGCTGCAGGGATAACAGGGAGCCAGTAACAAGAAGATCCTTTCCCCCAGACCGTCCCTGCCAAAAAAATTAAATAAAAATAAAATAAGTCAATGGCTGGGAGCAGAAACCTTAATGAGCCTCATTCCAGAGGGAGCAAAGAGCCTGTCTGGTTTATCCAGGCTCATTTGGAGGTTGAGAAAGGCCAGGCAACAGCAAGAGCTCTCTTCTCTGCACCCAGACCGCTGTACAGTGCCAGGGCTGGCTGAGCTGCGGCCTGTTTGCCTTGATGCCTTCATCATCCTGAAGAGGCCTTCAGTCTACAGCAATCAACACCAGCTGTTGCCTTCCCTTCCAGCCCCAGCTTCTCCTGGTTGTTCATGGCGACAGCTAGTAATAACGGCTCCGCTCGATCTGCTAGGGAGCAGGCTGGGAGGTACCTGCCAAGCTCAGCACCAGCTGAGTTCCATCTTACCTGGTGCTGTTTGTTTCCGAACAGGGGAAGAGTTACAAAAATGGGACTTAAAAATAGCAGAACAAACTGCTTTGACACTTGCTCTGTGTGTGTGTCGCAGCCCGAGCAGGTCTCTCTGTTGTCCCTGACGGGGGGCTGCTAACAAGCAGCTTCAGAAAGGGTCAGTAAGTGCAGTATTTTGGCGAGAGAGTGGAGCACAGGAATTGCCATACAGGACCAGACCTGTGGTCCTTGTTTAAACTGATACCCTGTCTCCAGCAGTAGCCAGGGCCACTTGGTTCAGGGAATCCACTAGTGGACAATTACAGAATAATTTTGCCCTTGAGGGAGGTTACTGCCTGAGTGGCTGGCATATGCCCTGAAGCATGAGGGTTCCTGTTTGTCTTATTTTCTCTGTTGTACCTGGAAGGTCTCATTATCTATATGAATGTTTTTGTTTTAGTTCTCTAAGCTCTTGGCCTTAGTGATACATTGGGGCAGTGAGTTCCATAGGTTGGTTTTTGCATTGTCACTCAGCCCCATTTTGGGAGCTGGGTGTGCATAAAGGTGAAAGGACCAGCCTTAACCAGTTGCATCTTGTAGCGTGTGGCTGTGAATTAGGCCCCTGGCAAGGGATCCAGCAGTTGGCTTGGCTCCGTGGGTCATGTTGGCTCTGAGCTTTGCACTGCGAGCACCAAGGGTCTCATCTGTTCTCCTTAACGTGAACATGACGCGTGTGAAAAGGAGCCGGTTGCCCTGGCTGTTCCCTGGCAACATGCAGGTAGAAGCAGGGCAAAGGGTCCATCCCTGTTCTAGGCCATGCCTCCTCTTAAGCAAAGACTCGCCAAACATCCCCAGTTAGATGCTAGACAGATCAGCCATTCAAGTCGGAGAGGGTGGCTACTTCACGTCTCCCCTGAGACTATCCATTGATGGTAGGGTTTTGTCCTGCCACTCATGCACTTTCCACGTCAAACAGATTGGCAATAGCAGAGTCCCTCGTGACGTTCTTGTCGTGAAGGCAGGATTCAAACCCATGTCTCCTTCCTGTGCTTCAGAGGCCAGCTGGTGCAGTTGCAGGGCTGCACTCGTGGCACAGGAAGGGTCCCGTAGAGCCTTAGTTCTTCTTGTATGAGGCATGGAAATAGGACAGGCCCTGGTCTGGTTTAGAATAGCAAACATGAATCTTTAGAACACCTAATTATTAAGAAAAAGTCTCGTCAGTGTGTGGATTTCTCAGCCACAGAAAGGGGGCTGTCCTGCCTTCCTGGAAAGGAACTGGGGGCTGGTTTTCCTCCCACCCCCTTGGCTAAAGGCATGTGCGTTTCATGCTGTCCCCCTTGGGCATGCCCAGGCTGTAGTCTTTGAAGATAAGCTGTCCAAAAGAGTGAGGTTTTAAAATCTAGATCAAACGTGCCGCGTCGTTCTGAAACAGATCAGAAGCCGCATCCCACGCATGGGACAGCTGTGATGAGACTCCCATCCCTGGAGACCGCCTTCTGTTTTAGCGTTTGCTGCTCCTCGCGGAGCCTGTGTTCACATGAGAGCTTTTCCCTGCTTACTGTAGAGCCTTTCCTGAAGAAACCCCCCTGCCCCCCTCAGGATTTTGAGAGATTGGACAGTCAAAATAACCCCCTTACTTCCTTGAAATCATTACACTGCGTTCGCTTGCCACCAGCCGTGCGTTAGGTGCTTTACAGATGATTGAACAAGAGCTGGTCCCCGGCCAAAAGAGCATTCAGTCCATGACCGATGAAAGCAAGGGTGGCGGGAGGGAGGCTCTATGCCCAGCAGTCCTGTAAAGTAGGTAAGTGGTACAGAACCTGTTTTTCAGCTGCGTAAACTGAGGAAGAGAAATGAAGTGACTTGTCACAAAGCCAATGAGTGGAAGACCTGGGAATAGAACCCAGAAATCCAGTTCTCTAACCATTACATCATTCTGCCTCTTTGTCACAAATTCCCCCCATGTGACCATAGAGTGATACTTATTCTCTACTCGGGTGAAGGCTGGTCCCAGGAGAGTAAGCGGCTGATACTGGACAGAGCCGAGGTACGTTAGCAAGGGTGTGTGAGGAGGCTCAGCCCAGGAAATAACAGGTTTGTGCTCCGAGACCTGTACCAGTGTTGTGGCAAATGAATGCTGAAACCCAGACTCCTTTGCAAACAGGAGCTGGTCTGGGTCATGTGTGTTCTGCCATCACTTTGTGAAGAACTGGGAGCGGTCTGTCCAGAGCACCCTGCAATACAGGCCAGGTCAGCAGAGAGAGGAAAGAGTTGGATCTAAGGGCAGATTCCCCCAGAAGGGAAAATTAACTGTGGGGCTTTTCATCCTGGAGCTTCAAAACTCTGGCCTAGAAAACCCAACTCAAGACCCCAGCCTGATTTTCAAAAGATTTTTGTGAAGCCAAAAATAAATGCAGATTAAAAACAAACAAACCAAGCCAGTCAGGGATCTATTTTACATAAGAGCTTTGAGAGCACTAGACTAATGAGAGGCAATGCAACTTTTAGTCAAGTCACTAGCATCTAAATAGCTAAAGATTTGGGAAATAAATTCATGTTTCTAACACAAAGTTGTCTGTCTGTGGTTGCAGACTACATTAGCCGGTCTCCCTCGCGGCTGGGTTAAACAGATTTTTAGTTGCTGTATGAAAATAATGCTGTTTAGTTGGGGAGGAAGGAAGGGGTTTACAGCTGCAATCAACTCCTCCGAAGTGATTTGTAAGTAGGTGTTTTCAGGCTGAAAATAACACTGACGTCTTAGTTCCAGTAGCCTGGACTGAGGTTTGATCCAGCACTGAAGCTGGGGAAATCAGAGAGGAAGCCAAGTGTGGAGATGACACTTGCTTTCTCATTGTGTAGGGTATTAACAAGTGGCCATCTGCTCCTGACATGCAGTATTGGTGAAGATCTTGGACTTAGTTGCACCACTTTGTCTGGGATGGGGCCAGTCCCCTGGAGATCCAGGTCCAAACCTATCCATCCTCTCCCTGTATAACCACAGCAATGGTGTAAACCTCGTGGGCTTTGTGAAGATGCCTCACCCTTTACCCCAAGGCTGAATTTGGTCCCTGGACTACAAGCCAGTTCCATGTTGGTCAGTTCCTACTCGCAGCTGTCAAACAATGGCTTTGCAAACTTACTCATTGTGGCTTTGCTGGGACAGAGGCTTCCTTGGGGTCTGGGTGTTGAATTACCAGGTGTCCAAATGTTGTGATGCTCAGGTTGTATTTGGCATCTTCCCAAGAGCCCGACAGTTGCACATAACTTCCCTCTATTAGAATCCAAAGCCAGACATTTCCTGCAGTGTCCTGTGTGTGACTCGTACCTTTCTCCATTTCAAGTGTAGAATCATAGAAATGCGGGGCTGGCAGGGACCTAGAGTGGTCCAGCAAGTCCAGCCTCTGCACTGTGGCAGGACCAGGTAAACCTAGACCAGCCCCGCCAGGTGTTTGTCCAACTTGCTTTTAAAAGCTTCCAACAATGGAAACCTATTCCAGAGTTTAACTCCCCTTAGAGTTAGAAAGGTTTTCCTGATGTCTCCCTTGCTGAAGATTAAGCCCATTGCTTGTCCTGCCTTCAGTGGACTTGCAGAACAATCGCTCCCCGTCCTTTTCGTAACAGCCATTCATGTATTGGAAGCTGTTCTCAGGTCCCCTTTCAGTCGTCTGTTCTCCAGACTAAACCTGCCCGGGATTTGTAACCTTTCCTCAGGGCAGGTTTTTGGTAGAAGTTTTTGTTGCTCTCCTCTCGACTCTTTCTAGTTTGTCAATATCTTTCCTAAAGTGCAGTGCCCAGGACTGGAGGCAGTTCTCCAGCTGGGACCTCACGAGTACTGAGTAGAGCAGGACAATTAGGTCCTGTGGCTTACATACAGCACTCCTGTTAAAACACCCCAGAATCATATTAGCCTCTTTTGCAAGTCCATTGCCTTGTTGACTCCTATTCAGTTCCTGGTCCACTAGAGCCCCCAGATCCTTTTCAGCAGTCCGACCACCTAGCTAGTCATTCCCCCATTTGTAGTTTGTGCATTTGATTTTTCCTTCCAAATTGAAGTCCTTGACACTTGTCTCTATTGAATTGCATCTTGTTGAATTCAGACCAATTCTCCAATCTGTCAAGGCCATTTTGAATTTTAAACCTGTCCTCCAAAATGCGTGCAACCCTCCCAGTGTGGTGTCATCTGCAAATTTTATAATTTAGTTACAATTACATTACATTGTAAACTGCTTTGCAGTCTTCTACTCTGAGATTGTGAAGTGGAGGTGTGAGTGGGCGGAGCTTGGGGTCCTGTGTTTTTCGCCAACGAACAGAGTAATACTCTGATTCTGGCCCCAGTTACTAGAATCTGAAACACTTTGCCAGAGTTCTCTGAACCATTCATAGGAAGTGCATGGGTGGAATGAACGTGTCGCTCATCAGATACAGTGGCGTCTGCGTCACGAACGCAGTTCGAATGTAGTTGACCTCCACAGCAATAAACTCCCACAAGGGGATCGGCTTTTCTATTCTGTCTAAATTTTGGTTCTTGCCCACCTGGACACCTTGGAACTAACATGCAACTGAAGGTGAGAAAGATTTGACTAGTAACTCACGTCCTGGGGCCCTGTCTGCAGTGTGGAGTATTTCATAAGGAGTGGGGAAGGGCCTGAGATGAGCTCAGGTCTCTGGCTAGAATTTTTAAATTTACCAAGTGCTGACCTAGGATGTGGTTACTGACTGACTCTCTGACCTCACTTCCTAGCTCTGTGCTTCAGTTTCCACCTTCTGTAAGGTGGGGGTAACCATACTGGCCCTGGTCCCAGAAGCTTGAGGCTTACCTAAGGTTTGCGAAGTACCCTTGAGGTCCTCCGGTGAAAGAAGCTTTATACATAGGAAGTGATTTTTATGAGAGAGCAAAACTTGACATAGTAAAGCTGCGTGAGCGGATAGGGGGCAATCATTTTTTTTCTTGAAAAATCAGAGTAGTTAAAGGTTAAACCACACGTTGCAAAACAAATAACCGTTTTTTGTAACGTGACTCAATAAGTCTGGTTCGGGCAGGTCTGAGCATGGCGGTTTCAGCGAGGGAAAAACTCCACCAGAGCCTCAGACCCCAAGATGGTGCATTCGTGACGCAGGTGCCACCATATCTGATGAGTGACAGTTTCGTTCCACGCAGGCACTTCCTCTGAATGGTTCAGAGAACTCTGGCAAGGCGTTTGAGTCTCGCAAATGGGGCCGGTATCCGACTATTACTCTGGTAGTTGGCTAAAAACCTAGGAATCCCCCCGCCGCCCCCGCGCGCACTTCACAATTTCAGAGAAGTCGACTGCAAAGCAGAATACTACTCTAGCTCCAGTCTAAAAGGGAACCCAGGAATCCTGACTTGCAGTCCCTCGCTGTACCCATCAGACCACACTCTTCCCTGTGGTGCATCTCTCCATCGGCGGTAATGGCACGTTCCAGTTCCTTAGCGGTGCCCTGTTTGCGCCCCCTCATCTCGGGAACGGGCTTCCCTTTCCTGCCGAGCGTTCGGCAAAGGTCAAAGCGTGGCTTAGTGGTTAGAGCAGGAGGCCTGGGAGTCAGGCCTCCCGAGAACTGTTCCTAGCTCCGCTGCTGACTTGCTGCATAACCTCGGGGCCTTTGGTTTTTTTTCAGCTATGACACGGGGAGGCAGCTTGTCACTAACATGCTTAGTGGGCGTCTGGTCCAAAGTACTGTTAGCTGCCGTGGTGGTACGCTCAGCCCCTCTGCTTCAGAGCACAGGGCTTGTCAGGCGGCGTGTCGAGCATTGTGATGGTTACGGCTTACCTAGAACTCGTGTAAAAGGCCTTTGAAGGGTTTCAGGGAAGCTCCACGCTCCCTAGAACGTCTTCGTAGGAAAAGGCCTGCTCTTTGCGGAACTGCTCCCTCCTGGGCAGTAGGGGGCCAAAATCATCCTCTGGCGGGACTTAATAAATAGCTTCTGTGGCCACTACACCAGCAGTGCAGGATCTGGGCAGCTTCCAGACTCCTCTGACATCAAACACTTGCGATCTCTCGGCTGAGAGGAACGAGCAGCTAGGGGCCCGTGCCCCACGCGTATGGGGATAAAAGATTGTGAGCATTGCTGCTAAGAGTGAATGAGTCGCAGAAGGCGTATTACATTCACCTGCAGGATTCACATCCACAAACTCCACCTCTGGCCCATCTTCCCTTCTCCTCCCATGAGCTGCCCCCTTCTCCCTTCCCTTTTCGTTCCATTGAGCGTATTCCTGCCTGCCGAACCCCCCTCCCCAAATGGAGCTCATGTGACGTTTGCCGCCGTCCCATGGATTGCTCTGCTTGGGTTTGTATCCCCCTTTGTGCTGCCTGTGTCGATGAAGTTCTTCCGGGCAAGAACCGTCCCCTGCTCTGTTTGTACAATGCCTAGCAAAATGCAGCTCCATCCTTGCCTGCTCCCCGACACCAGGATTCATCATAATACAGCCAATTGTCTTAAAACAATGCAAAAGTGCTTCCCCGTCCTCAGCACAGACTGCAACAGCTGCTCAGGGGTTGGGGTATCTAGGATGGCTGTCACGATTATATCTGCAAATCTGTCTGCCTCTTGAAGTACTCAGCTAAAAGTTCCATACTAATTCATCAGTGCAACCTGCTGTATGCCCGGCTAGTGTGGCCCAAAACGTTTAATGGCTCTGCTGTGTCTGTCGACCCTCATGGAGCAGAACCGAGTGGCCGAACCTGAGATAACCATCAGCCATCAATGGGAAAATTAGCAGAGGTGAGCGTGTTGCCCTGGACCCACCCCTAAGCACTTCTCTTACCAGTGCTTTCGGAGCCCACAGGCTCTCGGCAGCAATCAGTCACCAGTCAAAAACAGCCGACCGTTCTGCAGTGAGCTGCAACAGGCCCGGCGCGGGTGTGCTGAGAGATGTAACGAAGCATTGGGGATTTCCAGCAGGGCTCCAGCAGCATTTTTAAATATTGCCCTGGCTTCCAGGTCCAATCCTGCAGACCAGCCACACTTATGCGAGAGGGGCAGGACAGTGTGGCTGGCCAGCTGTTAGAGAACAAAGCGCGCACCAGTAAAGGACGGGTCAGAGGAGGCTGGTGTCCTGAATCAGCACTCCACAAGCTCAAACCTTCCCCTCCCCTTTCAAAATCCAGGAGCGTCTGACGCCTTGTTGCTGGGTGAAGACTGCTTGGGAGGAGAGAAACCTTCAACAAAAGGAAGTGAGAGCCACTGGAACATACTCAGTAACATTGTGTTTGGGATGATGTGAAGGAGCCTGGTTAGATCAGGAGCTTGGGGGGCAGGACTCCTGGGTTCTGATCCTGGCTCTGGAAAGGCCATTCGCCCAATGATTAGAGCCAGGTGAGTGGCCTGGGTGAGGTCCTGACTCTTCTTGGATTGCTGCAGTCTTCAGTGAGACATCTTAGCTGTGTTGGACCTGATCTGTAAAGAAGGGATCGAGCTTGCCTGCCTCCTACGAGGACTAGGCCAGGCATACTGGCGTGTTCGTTTATTCTGGAGGAAACATCTCATCAGCTCTTGGTTCAAAACAGCATCATTTTAAATCTGACACGTACGTGAGACACTAACTGGTGCATTGGATAAACTTAGTAAAGTTATTTTATAAAAGCTGTTACGGACTAAAATGTAGAGGAGGAGAAATATGTGAAGGGTCCGTTTGGAGTCTGCAAGAAGGGCCTGACCAATTTGGTGCCCAGCTCAGACGTGCTGTGGCATCAAACGCCAAGAGGTGCTTCGATTACTCAGTGACCTTGCACATCAGTATCCACTCCTTAGCAAATCCGCCTGCTCTGTGTCTGTCTGCTTCGGTCCCAGCCATGGTACGCCCTTAACCCAGCACGTGGCTGGCCCGCACGTAGCTGTGACAGCTTCCGGGTAATATCTGGGTTTCTGTGTAATGTCTGTTTTGATGGCCAGGATCTGTTTTTTCATTTTTTCCAGTCTCCTCCCCCACAGTCGGCAAGCCCTACAAATGCAACTACTGCGGCCGGAGCTACAAGCAGCAGAGCACGCTGGAGGAGCACAAGGAGCGCTGTCACAGCTATCTGCAGAGTCTGAACACTGAACCGCGGCCGCTGGCCGGCCAGCCAGGTCAGTACGTTGTCCAGTAACCGGCGAGTGACTAGCTAGTCCCAGGCACCCTCTGGGAGAGAGTCAGGACTTCTAGCTTCTCTTCCTGGCTGCAGAAGGGCATGTGGCCTAGCGGTTAGAGTAGAAAATGGGGAGTGTGGACTCCGGGGTTCTGTTCCCAGCTCCACCACTGACTCTAGATTAGGAACCATTGGGACACGTCACCTCCCATTTCTTTAATGGGATAATGGCTCTTGGAAGCGGGAGGGCGTAATTAATTGAGGTTTATTTAAATCAAAATGCTCTAGGGACCCTGGGATGGACAGTGCTACGCGTGCACAAATTCTTAATATTGCGGCCCAAGTAAGTGCAAAGTATTCCCTCGTTATGAACATCCCCTTGCCCAGAGCCTGTCATTTGGTGAAGTTGATCGTTTGGAGCATAACCTTACATCCTTTTATAAATAATTCTATAAGGAGAAAACACCTTAAAGCATTTCCCAGTAACAAACAGAACTTTACTGTGCAGAACCATGCTCTAGCCTCTCTTTGCATCAGGGGATGGATCACTCGATGATTACCCTGGTCTGCTCATTCCCTCTGAGGCACCTGGCATTGGCCACTGTTGGAAGACAGGACACTGGGCTAGACAGACCATTGCTCTGACCCAGTGTGGCCCTTCCTGGGCTCTGTTACAGCAGATGCTCAGTAAGCAAAGAATTGAACCTTACAAAGCAGGAGTCTTGCGAACGACTGGAAAATCTCCAAACTGATCCACGCCAAACTAACTGTGCTCTGAAATCTAACAGCCTCCAGCAGTGTGTAAAGCACCTCCAGCTCCCAAAATGGCCCCTCTGTGGTCAGGAGATCATTCTGCATCCAGACCACGTTGGGCCAAAACGGAATCTGTGCACGTCTTCCTTTGCACACCAGTTCCCCGTACGCCAACCTGCCCCACGGGACAGGCCTGGCGTTGTGGGTGTGTGTCTCACACGCTTTTCTGTGCGTCTCCATCAGCTCTGTGGAACTGAAACTTGTGCTCAGCTCGTACGAGCGGGCTAGTTTCAACATCTGCACCTTGGTTCAAAGGAAAAGTCAACCCTAAAGATCATAAAGACCCGCCCTGCTAGCGAAGTCTAACCTGGCTGACGGGCTGTCGAAGGGGGGCAGCCAGCTTATGGTAAAGCTTTCTTTTTGCAGACCTCCAGGACCTGCTCCGTGGCTCTCCCCAGCCAGGGCAGGGTAATCCCCTGGAGAGAGGGCAGATCTGATGCTGCACTGAATGTTAGCTACAAGGCCAGTTTGTCTGAGATTCTATCAGCCTCTTTGTAGTTCCAATTTTCTGTACCATCGTTATTGTTCCTAGGCTGCCAGAGACATAGGTGGTACTTCACAGCCACAGGAAGGGCAGGGCTCTGCTGAGGCCTTTACAATCCAAATTAAACACAACACCAAGTGTCAGTCGGATGCCACATTGGGACCCGGCACTCTGGGGAGGCCAGGCAGGGAAGGCAAGTTGAGGAGCAGCACATGCCCTTTCTTCCCCAACAGCCTGCAGCCACCCGTGCTGTCGGAGCACTGTCCACGTACACTCGGGGGGCAGTAGCAGGGCTCTGGCTCTTTGCCCAGAAAGCCCTGCTTGGGAGTGGGTCTCCCTGCGGGGCAAGGGGGGAGTTGTAGAACCAAGTGCCATGCCAGTCCGGTGAGGGCATAGTCAGTAAGTAACGCTTTAACTGGCTCATCTCAGCCCCCGAGTAGCAAAGGTGAGAGAGACAGATTGCCGGCAGGGGTGGAGACGCCTCTCCTGCCACAAAGCCCTTCTCTAGCGCCGTTGCTGGGCAGAGAGTCCCTTCCCCAGAGCGGTTACGGTGCCGCACAGCCATGGCCAAGCGGGGCAGGCTGCTCAGGCAAAGGAGCGTGTGGTGGGTGGCTGGTGGTGCCGTCGGAGGACTGAGCCGTGAAAGAAGTGGGTAAGCATTTGGCTTGCAGACTGAGCCAGAGGCAGTGGATAAAAGGAGAGGTGTGACCATGTGCCCCACTCTTCACCTGCCCTGCCTTCAGCTTGGGGAGTGGAAGCGACCTCCCCGGTCCTGTTCACCCCTCCCGCATCGGGTATTGGCTGAGTGGGTTTCCCTTGTCTTGGCAGGCGATGAGATGCGAGACCTGGAGATGGTGCCGGATTCTCTGCTTCACCCCTCGTCCGATCGGCCGACGTTTATCGACCGGCTGGCGAACAGCCTCACCAAACGGAAACGCTCCACACCTCAGAAATTTGTGGGTAAGGGGCTCCCCTTTGCTTCCCGGGAAGAGCAGAGGGAGAGGTGAAGGTGGGTTGGCAGCAGTTCCTTGGCCCTACGTGTAGGAACTGACCGCTTCTACGGGGCCCCCTCTGAATGAGCTTACGGCCCTGTACATACAAATGCCACTGACCTTACCCAGCGCCTTTCATCCTGCAGGCCCCCAAAGTCCTGTATAGACAGGGATCCTTCCACCCCCCCTCCCCCCGAAATGCAGCCCCCTCGGGGGTGGGGCAACATGGCACCTGTTCTGCACTGGGACCACAGCGGTGTTCAGAAGGGGGCAGCGTAGAACCGTTCCTCCATTCGAAACTGCCGGGGGCGTTTGGGAGGAGGGGGTGTAATTCCAAGGGCTGACCAGGGACCTTCACTGGGAAGCCTGTGCCCCCCAGCAGCACTGGACCACGCTGAGACACTGCAGTCAGCGTGTGTGCACAGCAGGGCCCTGATCGTACTGTAAAAGCGGAGAGCACCCCCTGCTGAGCCACCCTTCCCTCCACACACAGCTCCCCCTGGCCCCATCCTGGGGCAGTAGGGTTGGTACTGATCCAGAGGGAGGAGTACTAGTCACTGCCAAGGCCCAGGCCCGCGTGGGTTGCAGTGTGAAGGGATCACAGGTTGAGCCGTGCAGAGCGGAGCTTGTCTCTAGACGAAGACCCTCTGCGGAGTGTGTGGGGCTTGCCCTGGGTTCTGACCCCTTGCTCCTTGCCCCCAGGGGAGAAGCAGATGCGGTTCAACCTCTCCGACCTCCCCTTCGATGTGAACTCCAGCTTCGAGAAGGATGTGGAGCTGGTGGCCGCCCACCACCCCATCGACCCCAGTTATGGCAGCTCGCTGTCGTTTGTGGGGGCCGAGCACCTACGCCCCCTCCGCCTCCCCTCCACAAACTGCATCTCGGAGATCACACCTGTAATCAGCTCCGTCTACACCCAGATCCAGCCCATCCCGGGCCGGCTGGAAATCCCGGGGAGCCGAGAAGCTGCTGAAGGCCACGAGGACATTCCTGAGGGGGCGCAGATTGTGTACCGGGGGCGCGATCAGGGCATGTCACCCAGCAACGGCTGCCAGGATTCCACAGACACTGAGAGCAACCACGAAGAGAGGACCTTGCAGCTGCCGGTGGGGAACTGCACCAGCAGTCGGCAGAGCCCAGCCTATGCCAAAGAGGACCCCAAGCTGCAGGAGGGCACCCCCGCTGCCCGAGCAACACCCAGCTCAGCCAAAGACATCCTGCGTGTGGTGAACGAGGAGGGGGAGCAGGTGAAAGCCTTCAAGTGCGAGCACTGCCGGATCCTCTTCCTGGACCACGTGATGTTCACCATCCACATGGGCTGCCATGGCTTCAGAGACCCTTTCGAGTGCAACATCTGTGGCTACCACAGCCAGGATCGGTACGAATTCTCCTCCCATATAGTGCGGGGGGAGCACAAAGTGTAGGCTAACTCAATCCTGCCCCTTCGCCCTGATCTCCCCATGACTCCTCCCCCTGGCTCTAGCTCCGCCCCCTCCCATTGGGCATGGACCTGTTTTTCTTTTATACTCCTTTGCACTGACTTTGGCTACAAAATATTTAAAAAAAAAAAATCACGAGGGGAGCTCTTAACGATTTGCCTTTTTATAAACGGAGTTATTTAAATATTGTTAACGGATTTTTTACATTCTTTGTGCTTTTCCTGGTCCTCCCTTAGTTATTTATTAAGCTTTTTATTTCTTTATAACTCTCTCCCTAAAGCTCTTTGAATTTTTGTCAGAGACTTGATCTACTTCTCTCTCTGCCGAGAGGAGCACATAAACCTCAAGCACACGTCGACGTAACACGCACTCGCGTGCACACGCGTCTTACGGTTTAAGCCTCTCGCCCCCGCCCCTTCCTTCTAACTCTTTTCAGTTTCAGTCCTGGCCACCGTCGGGCGACGAGAATCTCGGAGTCAGTGCTAAAGTCAAGAGAACTCCCCTGGCCAGGAAAGCCACGAGCGAGCCACAGGGGTCCGTAGGGTGACCGTGCCCCAAGCTTTAATGGGTGATCTCTCTGTGGCATGAAACTGCCTGGAACGCAGAATGGTGCCCTCTGTCCCCAAGGCGGCTGTTCGACAGCTTCGTGGTGCAGGCTCCTGTAGGCAGCCCTCACAGTGCCACCTGTTTGAAGGAAGGTGGAGCTGAGCAGGACGTTTGCCAGGGCTGCGACGCTCGTGGCTTTTAAGTACAAACTCGGCCTCAGATCAGAGGTAGGAGGGTAAAGACTTGGACGGTCTGGGTGGGATCCAGCTGTGCCTGTGATGAGATGAAAGTACGTTAGCCGGGAGGATAACAAGCGTCTTTGAGTGGCGGCTTTGTTCTCCCCTGCTGGGATCTACTGGCGTGTTCAGCCCACTCCGCTCCCAGAGAGCTGAGGAGAACCTGGCTGAATTACTTCTTCCTTGTCACACCTGTGTCTTGAATAGCCTTGTAAGTGTGAGTACGAAACAGGTGTAGGCCTCTGTCCTGGATTGGGCACCTGTCACTGACCCCCGCTCCCCCAAAGCACTTTGCTTCCTTTAGCAAGCATAGCAATGACCCCTCCGTCTGCTGAGCACTGGAGACCTGGACCTGATCCCAGGAGGACTTTGGTGGTGTCACCTAGTGAACTGTTGTCAGGGTCAGGCTGGGGACAGTATCCAGGGAAGGAAGGTCGGTCGCTAAACGGGTCAGCCCCTAGGAACCCTAATCCCGTCGCTTCATTCTGTGCTGCATGGTTGAAGTTTCTTCCTTTTCAGCAGCTTTCCCCAGGGGTCGCTGTTGGGCACTTTGCCATCTGATTCCGTAGCTTCCCCGGGAGTGCGTATCTGGCTCTTATTTGCACAGAGGAATTGGGGCAGTTGCATAGGCCCTAAAGAGCTGCACTTTCAATGTGAAAGCTTGTTGTTGAGTTGGTTTGGGGTCGTTTGGTCCCACAAATAGTTGTGACGCTGCGTGGCACAGCAGAGGGATGTGGAAATTGCGTCTCTAGCACGTCTGTGTAAGCAGAGTGTGTCTTTAGAGTGATGTTAAGTGTGGGGGGGGAGGGAGGGGATTTGCTGCATCAGAGAAGTGGCTTCTGTTGAGAGTTGCATCTGCTCCAGCAGGCTGCTAACTACTGGTACGTGCTCAAGCCTCCTGAGCGAGGGAATTGTCCAGGATCTTGCTCAGTTACTGTAGGGAAACATCCAAGAAATGGGGAAAGGTGACTGCTAGCTTCTGGGACGTGCAAAACCAGCAGGAGCTGTGGGGCTGTGGGTTCTGCTGTCGCTTCCCAGAGTAAGAGGATGAGCAGGAAATCATGGCAGTGGAAGGCCCCAAAATAATGAGGGGGAGGTCCCCAGAATCCTAGAACTAGCTGTGATCCCCGTGAGAGGGATTTGAAAACAGTCCGTTCAGTCCGCGGACAAAGAGTGGGAGGGATGCAATGATGGGCAGTTGGTAGCCAATGGCCGGGCTTTCACCTGCTCCAGAGAGGAGGCAGAGAAACATGCAGCACCCACGATTATTTTATTTTTATAGAGAAAAAAACCTCCACCTCCCCTGCAACTGGGATCCTGATGGTACTTGCACTTCGAAGGGGCGTGAGAGTTACACCAGGCCACAGTGCACAAAAGGGGTAGGAGACTGTGCATTCCCCTTCCCTGCCATAAATTGGTCAGTAGGCCACAGTGTCGATTAACCCCACTGCTCTGTCTTGGATAACGCTGCCCATCGGAAACAGATGAGTCGCGGGGTGGGGGAGGACCCCAGAGCCTGACTGTGTTCCAGTGGCCATAACTTAGGGGCGTGAGAGGAGGGAACCCTGCTTTATACCAAGGCCCACGATGCATAAAAATAATCACTCAACAGCAGCCCAACAAACTGCTCCCTTGAGGTTTAAACCAAAGGCTTGTTCTTTTTCTACTAAAACAAACAGAACCACCTCACAAGTTGCAACACTCGTTGCTCTTTATTTTCTTCTTCTTGCTTTTCTGTTGACGGTGTTTGTGTATCCAGATGTGAAACGAAACCGCAGAGCCGTTTTTCTTTGCAGAAGCCCGTTGACGGCACAGACCGGCTTGGGCAGAAGGGCCTGTCATGTCTGATGCGATGTTTTGAATTCATTCGAGGAGGTTAGGAAAGTTCCCTAGAAGACATTCTCCACACACCCCCTTTCCAGTTTATAAATATAACCGTTGTGGTGCAAACTCACTTATTCCTTTCTGGTCTCTTCTCCAGAGCCAGTGGTGGTGGCTCAGAAAGCATTTTGTACTAGTTTCCACCAAAGCATATTGAGCCCTGGCAGACCACAAGAAAACAGACCATAAAATCCTAGCATTCTGATTACCATCTTCCAGCTGAAGTGCGAAATAAAGCCTGATTGTATCAGTCATTCTGGAGCGTGACCAAAGTTAGATTGAGACTAAAATTTTGCCTAAAATTGAGCACTGACCTCCACATTTGGACTGGGATTTTTCAAAAGGCACCCAACTCTCATTGACTTTCATTGGGAATTGGGCACTTCATTTCCTCAAGCATCTGTGAAAACCCCAATCCTTAAGCTTCTAAAATAAGTGGTCTGATTATTTTTGTATTTCTTTTATTTGGAATTGGAGAGCACCCACAGCTGCTGTTGAAGACCAAGAGATCTGTAAGTGCTAGCACCTTTGAGCAAAAAGCTACTTATTCAGGGGCTGACGTGTAGATTTAGGAGCCTGATGTCATCCTTGTTTGAACATGTTGACCTCATACTTTATACCTCTCAAGAGGTGGGATTCCTGAGCTGCCGATGGGGGTTTTAAACTCTAGTGGTTCTTGGGCTAGCATCTGCTTTGAACAGAACTGAAGTGAGAAGCAAGATGTTAATCAGAATGACGTGATTCCGTTACTTCAGAGCATTCAGTTCTAGGCCTAGTGATTTGAGAGAGCCAACCTTTTCAAAGTCACTGCCTTAGCAGTTCTTTTTCAGCACTGGTCCAATCCTCAAAATACCAGGATCTGGAGTTCAATCCCTTTTCATAAATATGCTCAGAAATAATTTCTCTTGCCATATGATCTGACTGCAGAAATCTCCATCTAGGTACGGCATGAATACGAAAACCAGGCAGGCCCCTTGCGGCAATTTACACAGGGCTGTGCTATGCCTTTAAGACTTTCTGGATGTTAGGGATAGCACTTGTTAAATTGGCAAGGAACTGCTGGTTTTCCACAAGGTAGCAATAAAAGGCAAAATGGATCGATTGTGTGCAATTTTTGAGAAGTGTTCTCCAACGGAGCCCCAAACTGTCGGTTCTCACGCAGAAACGATGCACTTTCCCTGCTGCTTGTCTGCAGCTGAGCTGGCAGAGAGAGAAGGAAACAAACATCATGTAAAGCGGTCTTCTCTGAGCAAAACTGGAAACGAAGCGGAGAGCGAGACGTGGGTCTCCTTTTCTGACTGTCATTTGGTAAACTCCGTCATGGAAAGCCAGTGCCCGGGTTGGCTGCCGTTTGGGGGATTTTTAAAGCACGGTTGTGGTCTGAAAAGCAGACTTGTAAAGGTGACATTATTGCTACTGTGTGTGCTCTCTCCGATTCACTTTGAAAAATCCACCTTTTGACTTGCAAAGGCAACTTCTGTGCCACCAACCATCTCCCACTCAGTCTGAAAAACCGGCTGGCTTAGTTCTACCTCCAGCCTCTAAAGTCCACAGGTGGACCAGCGCTGCTGACCGTTGATGCACACGGCAGGACATAATCACCCTTCGGGTGCTCAGTTGGCTCCTGCAGGGCTCACAGAAGTAAAAACTCCTTTGCCCAGATCAGATCTGCTCAGCTTCCCTGACAGCCAAGGAGCTAAATGAAAATGTCCGTTTTATAGTCACTTTTGGACCACAACCGCTGCACTGTCCTATTGTTGATTTAGTACGAAATTCAGTTAAGCTCAACCTGACTGTTATCCCCAGTAGACTGTGAATAAGTATGAAGAGCCCCACAACCGCGGCCCCCATGCCTCCCATTCCCCTCTTCAAAAGGTAAAACCAACACACTATTGGGGGGGGGTGTTTTTAAACAAAGGGAAAGGGAAGTTCTGAACTTTATAAACACCTTTTTTCCGCATCTTTTTTCTTTTACCTGTAAAAAGAGTCTAAAACAAATGTAGGAATTTTGTAAAACTCCAGGTTGCTTTACTTGTGTAAATATATATATATATATATATATATATATATATTTTTTAATCAGATGTATGAACAACAAAAAATATGATGTGCAATACCCCAACCCTCTTCCAGCACCAACAACTCCTCCTTCCTTTCTAATGACTTTTCATTTGTATATCGTTAATGGATTTGCTGTTGTCTTCGGGTTTTTTTCCCTTTTTTGTGAGGTTAGACTCGCTTTTCAACAGAACTCTTACCGCAAAAGCTTTTTGTATCTGTAATATATTGTAAGTAAATATTTGTGTAATGGAGATATACTACTGTAAGTTTTGTACTGTACTGGCTGAAGGTCTGTTATAAATAAACATGAGTAATTTAATGCCCCAGGCCTCTTCCTGCTCAAACGTCATGACTTCTGTAGCCCAAAGATCTCCCCATCCTCAGGAACACCTCACAAACATGGCACAATCCTCCCAACCCACTGTGCCAGAGGGAAACGGTTTCCCCCGTCTGTAACAGGGATAATGAGGCACAGAGAAACTCTGGCTTGCCCAAGGCTAGCAGAGTCCCCAGCACAGTGTCTTAGTTACAAGACTAAAGCTGGCTGGAGAATGACTATTCCAGTTTGTGAGAAGTTCCAAGGGTTTAATTTTTTTTCATTTTGTGTTGGAGCGAAACCAAAACCTTTCAAAAGTCCCTCCCTCCCCCCTTCCCCTGCTAAATGGAATTGTCTCAAAATACCCTTCTTTGGATCGAGACGTTCGGGTTTTCAGTTCAGGGGTCTCTCTTTGGAAGCAACTGATGAGTGGACCTCAGAAGCCTTCCGATCAAAATGATCCAGCTCTGCAAATGTTTCAGCTTCGAAACAGCGTTTTTCCATGAGAAACCATTCCATGGACACTGTTCCAACCGGCTCCGCTAAGGACTTGTCCGCAGGGAAACTGACTAGTGGGCGGAATTATTTGGGAATCATTGTTCTGCTCTGGTTCTGTTGGTCAGTTCCCTGTATGACAAGCCCTGTGAGAGCAGAGAGGGAGCACGTCTGCATGCGCATGTGTACGCACATTGGAACAGAACAGTTGCCAAGTTGAAAAGCAAAGAATCCTTTGTCACTTCTTTCTCATTGTGCCTTGGTTATTGTTACCCCAGCCTTGCTGCTTGCCTGCCTAAGAGCTGCACCATAATAGCTCACAGATAGGGAGACGTCATGACAAACAATTAATGTGTTTGCCTTGAATGGCACTCGAGTAACCTTGCTCACAGCTGTATTTTTATTTTGTTGTTGATTTGAGGCTGCCAGGGAAAGACGGGGGCTGTGTCTGTTACAGCTACAATTTAAAAGGGGGAAGGGGAGAGGACCCTCTTTGGGGAAGGAAGGAAGGAATTGAAACAGCTGAACCTGAGAAAGGCAACATGCTGGGGAAGGATGCCAGATTGATGGCCTTGGACGTGAGTCCTGATAACCGGTACAGCCTGATTCACAGCAGCTGATTCTGTTACTTCATTCCTGAAGAGGAAAGAGGTTTGTGGGAGAGAGCCCTATAACTCCCTTATGAGCTTCTGGTATTGTGGGGTCCTGCAGAGTCCTAACTGGCACACAGTGTAAGTTACAGCAGCCTTGGGGCTGCTCTAACTAGTGCTCTACATCCCACTGATCCTTGTGGCCTCTGGGTATTCAAGAATAGCTGTAACTGCATTCTCCAACCATGCCCCAATCCACCCCCTCCGCTAGGAGCAGGGGCAGCTCCAGAACTCTCTCCACAAGCTGGAGGTCCTTTAAGGCAGGAGCAATTATCGGGGTGGTGGGCATTTCTGCCTATTTTAAGACCTCTTGACACTGTCAGAGCATCTTAAAGGGGCTGGAGAGTAAATGAGAACAGGGCCTAATTGCTTTACCGCTCAGCCCAGCCCAGCCATGCAGGGCCATCTCTAGGGCGAAGAGGGAAATTTGGCCACCACGGCCTCATCAGTCTTCAGCCTCTCTTCTCAGGTTGCCAGCAGGGGTCCAACTGCAAGGGGTATATCTGTAATATGGACACCAGTTCACCGGGGCCTGGATATTCAGACTAGAACCCGCCAGTCCTCTCAGCCTGGAGGGTCGCTGAGCCAGACTAGTGTGGATTCCATCCTCTTCCTTCCCCGCTCCTTTCCACAGCCGTGAAACAGGTCTCCATTCCCGGAGCGGCTCTGAATAGAGGCCAGACCAGACCAGGGTGCATCTCTGACCTCTGCTGAAAGCAGGGAGCTAGAATCGGAACAGGAGCCCCAGAGGGGAGGGAGGCTCTGGGAGATGAACCTCTCTTCCCGATGGAGTCCCCTGGGATTCCAGCTGAGGTCCTAGGAATGTCGTTCTGCAGTGTAGCTGAGCCAGAGGCAGGTGGTACCTGGAAAGGCCTCACCTCGCCTCCCCAGAGCGCTCTCCTTCGAGACGAGTTTCCGTGCTGTTACCAGGACCAATTCCGCATTCTAGACTCCAAACTCATACAACCCCCTTGACGTGAATGGAACAGCAACTTCCTCCCCACTTCTGAATTCGGCTCCATCTCTGGAAGGTCACTCTGGGTCACACACCTTGTGGGTGTGTCTATATGGCGGCTGGCCCTGCTCAACTGCCCCGGGCTCAGGCTGTGGGGATAAAGTAGTGCAGTGTAGATATTCAGGCTTGGACTGTGAGTCCCCGCAATGGGGAAGGGTCTCGGCCCGGGCCCCAGCCCGAATGTCTACGCTGCCATATTTAGCCCTGGAGCCTGACCCCTGAGAGTCCCAGTCAATTGACCTGGTCTTTGAGACTCGGAGCCGTGGGTTTTTCGTTGCAGTGTAGACGTGGAACCTGGGCTCCGCTCCCTGCTGTGCGTGTGTGATGGGGGCAGGTTATTTCCCCTCTCGGTGCTCGTTTCTTCATTGCTACTTCCCAGGCCACTTGTGAGGCCAGTACCTAGGAAGTTAATTCTGTCCGATGGGGAGTGCTTATAGCCGCCATTGTTCTAGGTGCTGTACAAACACCAGGACCTCCAGAGCTCACGGTCGAAAGAGACCAGACGAATGGCGGCCCAGACAGCAGACGCGACCTGTAGAGTCAAACAGCAGGTCAGTCGCAGAGTGTCAGAGGCCAGGTTTTCTGATTTCTGCTCGAGTGCCCCATTCACTAGCCTGCAGTACAGTGAGGGTGTGTTGGAAACCCACAGAGAGGGGCTAACAGGGCTGTGCCAGAGGTCTTCCACTCAGTCTAATCACAGATGGTTCTTATCTAGCCATTAGCATCGGTATCGGTGTAGGTGCAGTGCCCGGCCATCTGTATTATTTATATTCCTGGAAGGCCTAGTCCCAAGCCAAGCCTCCATTGTGCTAGGCGCTGGACAAACAGAACGAGAGCCCGATCCCTGGGAGCTCTCTGGGCCAATCGAAGTCTAAGACAAGAGAGACCAGCTGCAGACAGACAGAGAGGTGGGAACACGAGGACACAATGAGACAGCACTGGGCAGTGGTCCTAGCACGCTGCTTTGTACACGTGCTGGAAAACGTATTAAAGCTGCCCCCCTCCTTCACCACAGCTTGGAGTAGTGTCGTTTAACTCTGAGTGGGAAATGCTACTTGGAGAGGGATTATTTTTTTAAAGGTTGCCCTCTGGGTAACTTACAGGCTTTTGCGGACAGCCTGTGATGTACGGTGAGAGCACAAGGGATTTCACTCACGTGAGGGTCTGGGGCCTTTGGGATCTTCTCGTAGCAGCAGGAGGAAGCTTTGAGCTGCTGGGAGGGGGAAAGGGGTGAGACATGTTTATCCCCTGTGTGCTACCCGAGGTAGAAAAGTCAGAGCAGCCTTCCTGGGCAGATTAGGATCTCTGACCTTTTCGCACAAGAGCCGCTGATGCGGGGCCAGACTTTGCACTGAGATTTTTCACTGTGAAACCCAAGCCCATGAATAACCTGTGAGCGGTTCTGCCCGACGGAAGGATAGCAAAAAGCGTTAGGGGGTTTTCGACGCGGTGGGGGCGTCTGGCGGTGACGGAGGCCTCCGCCGCGGGAGCCGTTCCCCAGGGCAAGCGCAGGGAGGTTTCGCTCTGTGTGCAGCTGGCGCAGGCCATGCCGGGGTCCGTTATTCTGCATCCCCGCGCCCCAGGTTTCACCCCAGTGGAGGCCACTGAATGCAGGGGTGGGGGGATGTGTCTTTTTCCTCCTGCTTTTGCGGCTACAGTAAACTCGTAACTTGATGCTTCTGAGGCCTGAGCTTGTTTTTTGTTTCTTTATCGTCACTGTGCTCGGGAAGGGCCAGGGCCGAGCGGCCGGGGGAAAACGCTGGGCAGCCAGGACTCCTGGGTTCCATCCTCAGGAGCAGGGCTGGGGGGATGGAGAGGGGACAAGTAGATGAGGGTGGGGCCAGGGTGGAAGGAGAGTGGGAGCAGGATTCCTGGGTTCTCTCCCGGGGAAGGGAGGGGAGGGGGCTGGGAGCCAGGACCCCTGGGTCCCCCCTTCCCGCCCACGGCTCAGAGCCAGGGCCATGTGGCCCGCGCGGGGACTACAGCTCCCAGCATGCAATGGGCCCTACTGGGCAAAGAGGACTACAGCTCCCAGCATGCATCGCTCCCACGGGCCTGCGGGTGGCCTGGGCCTAGGCTCCTCCGTGGTGCATGCCGGGAACGTAAATTTATAACGCGTGACGTGTGATCCCTCCGCTCAGCGAGAAAAAATAGTCCCCTCCCGAGTCCCAGAGAGCCAGGACCGGCTTCCTCCGCGCCCGCAGCCAGCCGGGGCCCTTGCTCCGCAGGGCGAAAGGGACGTGAGTCCCGAGGGGGGGGTCTCGTGGCCTCCCCGGGCTCCCGCTCCCCTGGCGGAGGCACTTCCGGGACGGGCGGAGGACTATATAAACGTGCGGCGCGGCGGCCGGATCCTCTTTCGCCTCGTCTGTTCCAAGATGGTGAGTGGCGGCGGCGCGAGGCGGGGAGCCGGGCCGGGGGGGGGGGCGCGGGGCGCGGCCGGGGGGGGCCTGTCCCGGCGACCCCTGCGCGGGGCCCTGGGAGCTGGGGGGGGGGCTGGTGCGTAGTCCCGGTTCTGCCCCCCCCCCCGCACCGGGAGCGCCTCTGACCCCCCCCCCCCCGCACCGGGAGCGCCTCTGACCTCCCCTCCCCTCCCCCCGCACCGGGAGCGCCTCTGACTCCCCTCCCCTCCCCCCGCACCGGGAGCGCCTCTGACCCCCCCTCCCCCCCCGCACCGGGAGCGCCTCTGACCCCCCCCCCGCACCGGGAGCGCCTCTGATCCCCCCCGTCCCCTCCTCGCCCCCCCGCACCGGAGCGCCTCTGACCCCCCCCGTCCCCTTTTACTCCGCCCCCCCCCGCACCGGGAGCGCCTCTGACCCTCCCCCTCCTCCTTCTCCCCCCCGCACCGGGAGCGCCTCCTCCTCCCCCCGACCCTCCCCCCTCCTCCTTCTCCCCCCCGCACCGGGAGCGCCTCCTCCTCCCCCCGACCCTCCCCCCTCCTCCTTCTCCCCCCCGCACCGGGAGCGCCTCTGACCCTCTCCGTCGCCTCTGACCCCTCCTCCTCCTCCCCCCCGCACCGGGAGCCCCTCTGACCCCCCTTCTCCTCCCCCCCTCCTCCTCCTTCTCCCCCCCGCACCGGGAGCGCCTCTGACCCCCCCTTCTCCCCGCCCCGGCAGACCAAGAAGAGGCGGAACAACGGGCGCGCCAAGAAGGGCCGTGGGCACGTCCAGCCCATCCGCTGCACCAACTGTGCCCGCTGCGTGCCCAAGGACAAGGCCATCAAGAAGTTCGTCATCCGGAACATTGTGGAGGCCGCCGCGGTCCGGGACATCTCCGAAGCCAGCGTCTTCGATTGTGAGCCCCAGGGGGTGTTGGGGCCTGTCACCAGCCTCGTCTCGCACAAGCGAGAGGAGGGGACAGTCCAGTAGTTCGGGCACCAGCTTGAGACCTGGGTGCCACTTCCTCAGTTCGCTTCCCCATCTGTACAAGGGGGACAGTAGCCGCGCCCTGCCTCCCGGGGTGGTTGGGATGAAGGTGGTGAGGTGCTCGCACACTGCAGGGATGGAGGCCGGATGAATGCCATAGGGCGTGGGTGGAGAAGCGTTGTACCTCTTAATTCAGCCAAGCATTAAGTGTCAGTGAAGATTTGCCCGAGGGGGCGTGATCTGCTCCCCACCAGATGCTGCCGTGTCTCCCGGCTGATTTCGGCCCATGGCTGGTGCTACGCGCTGAGCTGGCGGAGCAGTGAAGTGCTCTGCATAGGAATGACACTCTGCCTTCGGGCGCGGGTCCCAGAGCACTTGGTTGCCCGTCTGGGTGGGTTACGTGGTCTCCTCCTGTTATGCTGGGGAGGAGGCGGAGACGGAGCTGAACGTGTTCGCCAAAGGCGGCACGGTGGGCAGCCAAGCTGCGTGTAGAACCCTGGTGTCCTGGCTGCTTGCTCTAACCATTAGGCCCCACTGCAGCAAAATGGTGCCTGGAGTTTCAGGTGGGGCTTCTGGCCCCGACAGGCGCCCATTGGGGTGGAAGTCCCGGACCTGGAGCCATCGGGAGGTCCAGCATTCCCGCCAAAACCCAATTGCAGGGAAGCAGCAGGAATGTGACCTGTTTGTGCACCTGGGAGCAGACTGGCAGCGTTACCTTGACGAAGGAGCTGAGCCCACCCTAGCCGCGTGTCCCATCATGCAGCGCTCCGGCCTTGCTCTGAGCGTGGCTGTCCTGTGTGTAAGCCCTGGCTCAGCAGTGGGCTCTCCGGCACCCTAGCTCGCAGTTAGCCTCTCCTGGGGCTGGGGCGACACTAACCGATCCCTCCGCGGCTGGAGCGGGACTGGGGAAGCTGCGGCTTCAGATTCCTGGTTGACGCCTCTCCCATCTCTCCCCAGCGTACGTGCTGCCCAAGCTGTACGTGAAGCTGCATTACTGCGTCAGCTGCGCCATCCACAGCAAGGTGGTGAGGAACCGTTCCCGGGAGGCCCGGAAGGACCGTACCCCTCCACCCAGGTTCAGGCCGGCGGTACGTATTGTGCACAAATCCCTCCAGCCTGGCAGGCCAAGGGCAGGCGCCTCGGAGCTCACTGCACACGCCGGGAGCTCTTTGCATCCCTCTGTTCCTCTCCCTGTGGCTCAGGGACTCCTGCCAACCCCCCGCAAACCCTTCTGTGCCCGAGATTGTGGCGCCTCCCACACCAGAATCCCCCCTTCCCCCTCCATGCCTGTGGCTTGGTGTCCACCCCCATTGCTCTGTACAGCAGATCCTGATGTCGGCATGGCAATGTTCCAGGACTGACCTGATCAGAGCTGCCCAGTGAGGCACCCCAGCACAGAGCTAGCATGCCGTGACGAGCTGGAATTGACTCGCACCTGGGGTCTGAGATTCTCTGTGGAATAGTCTCTTCAGAGGAGAAGCCCCCCTGTGCTTGGGACACTAGTGAATGTGTGGTGAGGGGAGGTAGGTGGGTGGGTGAGCTGGGACCAAAGGGATTGGTCCATGTGGGTAAAGGGGATAGGTCGTTATCACGAGTGACACGTCCTGGTGGGATATTAAACCACTTGCATGTTTGCCCACTGCTGGGTTCTTCCACCTTCCTCTGGAGCATTTGGTTTTGGCCACTGTCAGAGACAGGATGGTGAGGTAGATGGATCTCGGGTCCGATCCAGTCTGGCGGTTCCTCTGAGCTGATGGGCCTTTCCCTGCCTGGATGTGTCCTAACGTTCTCCTTGCTCTTCCCCTCTAGGGCGCTGCCCCGAGACCTCCCCCCAAGCCCATGTAAGGAGATGGTGCTGGAAATGTGCACCTTGAGCCAGTGCCTCAATAAATGACTTTACATCTGGTCTGTGCGTGCGATTCTGTGTGTGGGGAGGGGGGCTGCACCAGGCCCTTGCACTCGCTGGGAGCTCGTGGGCAGGACAGTGACTCTTACTCTGGAACAAGCGGGTGAGGATTAGATGCTCTCTGGGGTGGCCAGGCTCCCTATGTTGACTGAGGGGGGCAGGATTTTGGCTTTACGGACGGATCCCAGCTCACAGGCTGGGATGGGGGGCTGCCAGAAGATGCCATGGGAGGGGCCTCTTGGTTGCCAGCAAAGGATCCCAATAACTGGCCGTGGCTTTGCAAATGGAGCTCTGGGGTCTCTGTGCTGGGGTTACGGCAAGTGGTTGACAGGAGCCCACAGCGTAAAATGAAACCTTAGGCTGGAAGTTTTTGCATGGAAGGCTGAAGGCCCGTCAGTACTGTGGGGAGGGGAAGGGAATATTCTGGACTGTGGCCGTTACCTGCTATTGTGGTAGGACTTTGGGGGATGTCAGTGCTGCCAAGAGCTCCGTAAAATCAACATCGTCCAAAAATGCAGGAAACAGAAAACCAGTGAAGCTGAACATGTGCGTGAAGAAGCCGATCCTGTCCCTTAGCTGCTTGCAGATCCAATGCAGGGAGCGTCTCCTACCCCATCTCATTCCTCCCCTGGGCTGTTTGTGGGCAGCCAGCAGGGGGCGGGAGAGGCAATTCCTCCAGCTCGGCACTTCCCGCCCTGCCTGGAGAGGGGGCTCACCGTCTAGCACGCATCATCCGGGAGTACTGTCGGCTTCTCTGGGCTTGGCAGGGCCCTGAGCTGATGCCAGGTTAGGGGGGGAGGCTGCACTGAGCGGGTTCAAGTGGCGCAAGGCAGCCTGGGCAGGCCCCTCTTCTGCAAGTCTCTGTCCCCCCATGCCCAAGGCTGAGAGGAGCTCCCTTACCTCTGCCTGAGGGCAGCTGGGTGTCCATGGCTGGTGCCCTACTGCTCCTTCCTGCCTGGCCCCTCAGCCGTACAAGAGCCAGGTCCAGGCTTCAGTGCGGGGTGAAACGCTGGGTGTGTGAAGAACTTGGTGGGGTGCGGGGGGGACAGGGGCATACGGACTCTTAAGCCCCAGTTCATCCTTGTTTTGGGGGCTCCTTTGCACCAGCCCTGGGGGTGAAGATGTTGCTTATGCCCCCTGCTAGCTGGGTCCCGGGAGGGAACCGCAGGTTTGGGTGAGAAGATAACGAAGAGAAATCCTCGTGAGCTGTGGCCTTAGCACCAGCCCCAAGAGGGGCATTCCCAGAAATGGCCATGGGGGGGCACCCCAGGGCAGGAACAGGTGTAGGCTTGGCCTGTGCCCCCACCCGTCCCCGTTGCGGCTCTGATACGGAGGCTGATTACTTCAGGAGCAGGTTTGGGGCTCTGATTCAGCCCAGTCCCATCTGCAAGAGGCTCTGGCAGACGTGGGGAAAGGTCCGGCCAAGGGGAGCAGCCCTTGAGGCCTGAAAGGGAGGAATAGAAAAGACTTGGGCCTGTTCAGTGCAGCCCTAAGAGGAGACAGGAGCAGACAAACAAAGGGTGACTGTTGCCACACAGCGTGTGACTGGCCTGTGGAACTCTCTGCCACAAGAACTCACTGCGGCCGAGAGTTCAGCGGGCACCAAAGATCCTGACTAAAGGTGATTAAAGTAGGGTAAAAATAACCTGGCGAGAGCCCAGAAGAGGGCTGCCCAGTAGCTCACGTGAAATTAGCAGGTTGGTCTGAGCCCAGTTATTTATTTGTTAGGTGCATAATGGTAACAGCTTGGTGCCCTAGTCAGGGATCCCCCCGTGTTCGGTGCTGTACGTTACTGATTAGTGTATTGCCCTAGCACAGAGCAGCCACAGACTAGCACCTTGCTGGGTTGGGTGGTGTGTATTAATTATTAGGTGTATTACGGTCACCCCAAGGCTCCCCCCAGCCACAGGCCGGGGCTCTGCTGTGCTGGGTGCTGTAGGTTATTTGTTAGGTGCATTACGGTAGTGCCCAGCAGCCCAGTCATGGCCCAGGCCCCCTCGGTGACACTGAACACAAAGACGGGCCCTGCCCCCCGCCCCCAAGAGCTCCCAGAGGGTGCTCCCAGCCGCCCCCTCCCCCCGGGTCACGGCTGAGGCATGCTGGCAGCGGGGCGGGAGGGGGGGTTGCCAGAATCGCTCTGCCTGGCTGGCTCCGTTCCCACCGGGGGGCCGACGGCTACTGACGGTTGCAGTGCGGCGGGCGCCCACCCGGCACATGTCAGCTCCCCTCCCGCCTCCGTCGCTGAGCTCGTTTCCTCCCGGCCCCCTGCCTGACTGCGCCCATTGTTCCCCCCACCCACTCCTGAACCCGTAGCGGCCCCCCCCCCCCCCCCGCCTGCTTGGCCCTGCCTTGCCATCTGCGGTGCCCAGGCTCCAGGAGGCTGCGCCGGCTTTTCCCACACCAGCTTCGGCTGGGCCAAGTGAGCAGGGCCTGGCGCAGAGCAGAGCCTGGGGGCGGTGCGTGCCAACGGTGGAAACCAAGCGCAGGTGGGAAGCCAGGCCTGGGGAGGAGAGGAGACGCTGGCCAGGGGGGGCAGGGGCGAGAGGGGGGTGTGGGCTCGCAGCTGGGGTTCCTGAGTGTGAATCCTGAGGTTGCCTTGCGGTGCCCATGGCCGCCCTCTGTGTCTTCCTCCCCAGGCCAAAGGGGCAGATGGTTATTTCCCGGCTTGGATGTCAGGGTTAATTTCCTCCCTCTGCCAAGACGGGGCCAGGCCCTGGGAGGTGTTCAGGGGATTTCAGTGTGCGGCAGGCCCCAAACTCCCTGGACGAGCCGAGAGAGACAAGGCGGGCGAGGGAGCCTCTGCTTGGACCAACGTCCCTTGGAGAGAGGGGCAAGCGTCGGTGCCAGGCGCTTCTGCAGGGCACAAGAGCCAGCACCCCCCCCAGCCTGTCTCCCTGCTCCCCTGGGACTGGCCCGGCCCCTCTGGGCCTGCCACTCGCTCTGCAGCTGGAGCCAGCTCTACCCACGATGCCAGGGCCCCAGTGCCCCAGCCAGAGCTCCGGGCTCTGTTCCAGGGGCCGGTGGGCGAGCTGCAGGGGGGCAGACTGGGGGTCCTGTGAGCTCCCGCCCGTGCCCGTCTGGGCTCGGGGCACTGCAAGCTCCCTGGGGCAGAGACCCGCTGGGCAGTGCCTGGCCCAGTGGGGCCCTGCCCGGGTGCTGGGACGACCAACCATCAGGGAATGGCCCAGTCCTGGGGGCAACAATGGGCTCGCCGGGGGGGGGGCTCAGACCCGCAGCCCCAGCTGTGCCCCAACCTCAGCTGGGCCGTCTCTGATTGGCTGCCAGCCCCAGCCAATGGGCGGCCGGCGGAGCTACTCCTGAATGAAGTGTGTTGTGGAGTGACTCCGGGAGCGGCGGGTGTCCCGGACGCGGATCAAAGCGGCTGCCCCGGCGGGCGACCCGGGAGCTGGGCGGCCGAAGCGGATCCACCAGCCGGGGGCCCTGCCCGGCCCCAGCGGGGAGCAGGTGGCCCGAGCCAGCATGTCCTAGCCCGCCCGGCGCAATGCGGAGCGGCCGCCCCCCGGGACGTTTCCTGGGGCTCCTTCTCCTGCTCTGCCGCCCGGAGCTCGCCGCCCCCCAGGCAGGTAAGTAAAGGCACGAGCGAGCCCCGGCGGACCCGAGCCGGAGTCTGCTGAGCGCCCGGGGGGGGGTTGTTTGCACCCTGGGGTGTCACTGGCTGTGTCGGGGGAGGGGGGATGGTTTCGGATTGAGGCGCCCCTGAACCTGCTCTGCCCCCCCCCGCCCCCCCGCCGGGTTGTTTGCCCGGGCTGGGGAGCGGAGGCAGGTGGGTCTTAAAGCCACAGGGCGGGGGAGCTCCCCAGCGGGTTGGATCCGCCTCAGAGGTTACGGGGGGAGGGGCGCTGGAGTTCTCCCCCTTGGTAAACTGAGGTTCCTGTCGGCAAGTGCTTTGCAGAGGTCAGGGGCTGGAGGTTGCAGCCTAGTGGGTCAGGGAGCCCCGGGAGGGGGAGACCTGCTGGGCCTTGCTCCCCCCCCCCCGGGGCTGGTGATCAGCCGGCTCGGGGCCCCCCCAGAGTCACTAGCCGCCTTTGCGCGTTTCTAGCCCCTGCCCCTGCCTTGGCCTCTGCCCATTGCAGGGTCAGGGCCCGGACTCTCCAAAGCATTCAGGTACCTCATCCCATGGGAGTTAGGCGCGTAAATCCCCGGGTGGGGCTGGGGCAGCCCCCTTCGCCTGTTTGCGGCTTTGGAAGAGGCTTGTTGCCCTTTGGCTTGGGACCCTCCACCCTCTGCTGGTCCAGGGGCTCTTGGTCCTTCTGCAAAGCGTTGGTTTGTCTGAAGCGTGGCAAGGCAGCGGACGCGTCTGGGGGCGAGCCGACAGTCACGCCCGTGCGGGCAGGGCCCCGTCTCAGGATCAGGGCCTAGAGGATCCCCCCCCCCCCGGCGACATAGGCTCCAGCGCCCATGGGTTTTACCAGGAGAAATAAACGAGAAATCGGGCCGGGCAGGAAAGCAAATGGTGCAGGGTTTCCTGTCTCAAAATGTCGCGGGGGAATGTGCCTGGGTGGCGGGAAGCGAGATGCCTGAGGATAAGGCCGGGCAGAGAGGGCCAAGAGCAGGACTCCGGTATCTTGCGTTACAAGTTCTAGGCCTCTCTGCGGGGCCTCGTCTCCTGAGCACACTTGACTAACAGGCTTTGGCAAGTTCAGGAACTTGGAATTGAAGGTGTTAGTCCAACGGCCAGGGGTTTCCTGGAGCCGGGCCAGCCCGTCCGCTCCCTGGGCACCTGTTGTGTTTGTTTGGTGGGTGTGGGGCGGGAAAGCCACTCGCTTTCTCGACTAGGCCCTTTGAAACCATTCCTTGGGCTGGGCCTGGGGAAAACAGGGACAAAACAAATGGAGCCATGAACGGGTCTTGGGCGCAAGAAAAGGGGGTTTATTCCCAGCTGCGCAGCTGGCTGCCCGGGGCGTAAGGCCGGAAGGGATGCCACGGGCTCCTTTCAGCCGTCGCTCTCGCAGCACTTTGAAATCTTGAACGTGGTGAGA